GGCCCACTGGGTGGCCCTAAGTGCTTGGGCCACCTGGTGGGACTCCTTACAGGACAGGGGGGGGGGAATTGTTGAGGGCCGAAGTTAAAGGCAGCCCTGATTAGTTCACAAAAATAATTATATTGGGGAGTGAATATAAGAAAAAGAAATTACTCAAAATAGAAAATGAAAGATATAAAAGGGGAATGTACAGAATGGAGTTAATGAAAGAAATGGGAGCAAAAAAAATGGAAAAAGTGTTTCTGGTAAGTATAGTGTCCCTTTAATGTGAGGTAAATTAGAGATTAGTGCCACTAATAATATACTACATTGCCTACTTACAACTAGATGAGGACAAGAGAATGTTGATGGGCTCTGGCTGCAGTGTGGCTCCAATCGTCTGGTGTAGAACAAACTCTCTGGAGGCTGTTTGTAACTGTGTTCACAAAAATCAACACCTTGGGGGAACAGGAAGCAGCTCCATCTTTTGGGGGCCCATTACACAGCTCAAGGTCCTTACTGTGAATATGCCCACAAGGCCCGCCCATAAGTCCACCTGCAAGGCCCACCCATGAGTTTGCTCACAGGGAGTGGAGGGGATGTGTTATGTGTTATTGTATGGGATGAAATGTGTGTGTTCATGAAATGTAGTGTATAGGGATACCAGTTTGTGTACCAGATGTAGTGTGTGTGTATAGGCAATACATGGTGTGTAGTGCTCATTTTTTTTTTTAACATGACACACTATTAAAAGAGCTTATCTGAGGTTTTTTCCCTCGACTATATGTGTTTCTACATTATGTTGGTTCGATACAGTTTAGGATTGCTATTAAATTATTTCCAAGACTGCTTTTTATTCCCAATACAGCAAACCTGCACACGGATGGTAGAAAATTCTGCTGAATTTAACAGCAGGCTTTCTATCGCTATACATTGGAGTCTCTTAGACACAATATGAAATCCTATGGTGATCTCTGCAGGTAGCAAATTCTTCACACATCTAAAATACTGTACATTCACCATACAGTCAGGTAAGGTGTTATTTTATGACCTGCTTTATAAAGCCTATGCTAGATCAAAGTTTGTATTAGAAAAATTCAGTGAATTTAGTGAATTTCCCTTTTTAAGTCTAAAATAATCATACAATGCACCCATTTTATATAATACTTTATTATTGGATTTGTATGGTTATTTTTGATTTGTCTACGAATTTGAACTTTACAAGAAAATATAAAAATCGAGTTATTTATTTTTTTGTCTATGAATTTAAATCCTACAAGAATATATAAAACCAAGGCATTTATTCACTAAACAGTGAATGTTTGAACATTTGTGTCCAGCTGGCTGGTTTGACGTTTTTTGATGCAATTCTGTTATCACTCAAATTTACTGTTTACTGTAACCCTTCCTGAGGAAAGGTATTTATCAAATTCCGAAACAAAACATCAACAAGATTGCAATGGTTCCCCTCCTTTTTTATGCAACAGAATTGGATAATTTGCTAATTTGAATATCAAAAATGGTCATTTTTTCCCCACTATTAAGTGACAGCTTCCACCATCACAGCTGAGCAGAACCAGTCTTCTATTTAACAATACAGTAAAAAAAACAAAAAAACAAAGAAAAACCATTTATTCGGCTAAGCGCGGACAGTCTGAATGTAGCGGTGTGCATTTGTCAGCCAATTACTATCGCTTGGGCGCACGCAAGACTGCATGCGAGTGTTACAGCTGCAAATCCTGACTGAAGGAGGGGGAGTGGGTGCAGAGGAGAGGGAAGGAGGAGGGGGTCATAGCTTGCATTATTACACATTCAAAGGCAAAACGTGAAAAAAAAAAAATGCTGAGGCAGCCGCGGCTCAGAAAAAGGAAAGATGATTAGCAGTAAACAGAGATGCAAATGATACACGAAAAAAATCATCCTTAAAAAAGGAATTATGAATTTCAAATGAGTGTGTTTTTATGAATCGCAATGTTTTGATATTGTGGATGGAATGATAAAATGGATTAACACTGCTGTAGCATCAAACAGGGCTCAGAGCTGGCAAGCTGCAAAACACTGATGCTAAGAGTGGTGGATACATGGCATGGATTTTCAAGGGCAGCTAAAAGTCCAAACCAAAAGAGACACAGGGGGCTGAAAGAATGGAGTCATGTAACCCAATAAATTGGTTATAGTCTGTAAAGTTTAAAGATAGTGGGCCTCCCACCCTCCCAGATTTGTTGGACTCTACCCACTTAACGCCATCGCCATGTGATGCTATTCCCTGTTAAAAACCAACGGCATCTCCAGTTTTCTATAAAAGGAATAATGGAAACTGCAGATATAATCATGGCGGACACATTTTATGTCACACATCCTTATCAGTTGTTTTTACAATGCCAATACCTCCACTGATCTGAAGGCTTCTGCTAGCATGCCGAATAGCTCCATTTTTTGTGTTTTCATGTCTGTATAGCAGGTACTCTAATTCAGACCTCCTAACATTCCTGATTTTGGCAGGACAGTCCTGTTTTTCAGGTCCTGTCCCACCTTCCTGACTTTGTTTCTTTCGTGTCCTCAAAACACGGAACAAAGTCAATTTGCCCACAGTAAGCGTAGTGTGAGCAACATTATCACGCTACGTTCAGGGCACTGAAAAAGTGTCAGCCTGCCATGCATTCACACCAGGCTGACTTGCCAATTCTTCTAGTGGACATGTCCCATTTACAGGTGGGCCATTTCCTTTTGGGCAGCACCAGTGACACATTTTGCATCAGTGGTCCCCCGGCCCCTTTTACACCCACCGGCATTCTACTTCACAGCCCACTAATGTTGGGGGGTCGGGGGGTTATTCTCTAATTGAAAACTAAGATACAATTTGTAAATCGTAATAAGGATCTGTATACTTTAAACACCACAGGGTGGAGGAATCTCGATGGTTTATTGCTGCAGCTACAAGAAACAGAATGCAGGAAAACTGGAAAAGAACATTGTACAACAACACAAGTACAAGGTTAACAGGTTTTTTGCATACTTCGTGTATCCCTTTAACCTTTCAGAGGAAGGTTGTAAATTATTTGCATTATTTCTTATTATATGAATTTTTATTTGCTATCTTTATTGTTTCACAGTTACATAGAGGTGGACTTTTAACAAGCAGTTAACTGAAAAAAACATTGTTGATTTGTGTGTAACCCACTATTCTTAAACATCACTGTTGTGTAACTTAAATGCAATGTACCCATTCCAAATAAAAACTTAATGAAAAAAAAATAATATTATTGATAGATAGATAAGGCCTAGAGAGACTTGCCTACAGTCCTGGACGAACTGGGGTAAGGGAACACAAGAGGAAGAAAGTGTTAATGGGGAGGAGAGGTTGATAGATTCAAAGCCTTTGTCTCTTTAAAGGGTAGCTGTCATGCTGTCTACTACTTGTGCTCTTTTTTTAAAGAGCATTAAATTCTATATATTGTGCTAGCAGATTGGCTCTGAAATGTATAGATTGGGAGAAAAAAAATAGGTATTTCTCCCACCTGTCAATCAATTCTTCAGAATAGACTCTATGCCAAGGAATTGATTGATAAGGGAGAGCAAAACAGACCTCCCGCAGGTGGTTTTTCTGCTACCCCAAGCATATCAACAACAGTGCATGTGCTGTGGTTGCTATGGTAACTTGCTAGCCGATACTGCTAGCGCTAGCTAGAGAGTATAGGAATGGAGTGACTGACATCCTACTATTTAGATGTTTGCATGTGGGCAATGAAGCCAGCGTGTCATTGTCACAAGAGACGTTTGACCTGCTGGGTGAAGTATCCCCAACAGGGAAAATCAAAGAAGACTGCAGGGTTGGGCGGACTATAGGTGGGTGTTGCAGAATTGACAGCTTCCCTTCAAACTTGTAAATGTTCTTCTCAGTAGCAAAAGTTGAGGAGTGGCGGCATCAGACGACGAACCGACACCTAGTTTAGTTAAGTTTGTTGTATTTTTACTTTTGTTCAGTCTCTCAGTCCACCCTTTTATGCCAAGACTTGTATTCAACCTTGGGATATAGGCTAACCCTTATGGTTTACTACCCGACTCTCCTATGTTTAACTGCTCATTATTTCAATGTTTTACATTTTGTTACTCTGACTGCTCAGTAACATCTCAACATTTTTTTTTGTAATAGGACATCATTATCGCTTACCAACCCTGGTTTTGTCGTTACTGACCGTTTTCATGCGCCAAAAAAGTGAGTATTATTGTTGCTGCATTTTGACCCTGTCATTGTACAATCCATGATTCCCTTAATGTCACCTTTATGCCAACTGAATACTGTGTACTCTGCATTCACAATAATTGGCTTTGAAAAAATAAATAAAAAACTTATAAATATTGTTGTAGAGGAACCGTTGAGTGGAACAAGAGTGAAGCAGACTGTGGAAGAACAGGTTGTGTGTGGAGGGACAAGAATTGTTCCCTCCCATCAATGGCTGCAATTGCCACTATGGGTATTTTGATGGCTTTGCCAATTTAGTTGCTTTGTGGATCTAATTGTTTAGTTTGGTGGCTCTTCATATTTATTCGCATTATGATCTATCAGGTATAATCTTGCATGATATCGAATTGCATGTTACATTAATCTCATGTACGTCAGAAAAGTTTTCGTTAATCTTATTTACACTTTATTCCTCCTTCTGTTGGTTGGTAATTTTTTGCATATTTTATAGTTTTCTTGTCTGACACAAGTTTGGACAATAAGTCCGTAACATCAGCCAGAACAATGCTGGTCAGACAATACTGCTACACAATCACAATGTTGATAGAGGGGCTTAGCCAGGGCAACAACTCGTAAAGCAGTTTATAAAGATTTCTAGCTCTAAAAATGTATTTGCTTGTAACTTGTCTAATACAATGTGTAGACACAATGATATTATCTTTAAGGTGATACCATTTAATCTTTGTCTGATAGGCATCATCTAGAACATAGTTCCCTGTTAACATGGTTCATACCCAGTTTCACATTTAGATATTATTTCACACAAAGCAGACACAGATTATTTTTGAAAAATGTGTTTATTGGTAGCAAGACCATTTCTATTCCTTTGGCAATCCTACATCTTTGCCTGTAGAATGATATATTACAATGCAGTGCTATACAATGCAACAAAGCATCACCTATATAATAATAATTATTAAACAGTTCCTGTGGATTCCGAAAGTTAAAAAATACAAAAATTAGGTTAAATAGAAAAGATTAAGAACACATTTACAATTTAGACGTTGCTCCTTTGGAAACAAGGTGCATAATTATATACACACAGTTTCAGCATGATTTATTAATTAACAATCAAACCATGTTTCTTTTATTATTATTTTTACTTTGTACTTATTTGCTATTTGTATGTGATTTTAGTATGGTATAACGTTATGCCGCTATTATGCCTAGGGAGGCCTGGATGTGAACTGAGAGATTCTCACTGGATACAAGCGACAATATTCCTACTCAAAATTAAACAGATTAAACAAAAATAAATAATAATAAAATTGCATTATCCTGTTGACAGATTTAGATGTTTGCTTCCTATTGAAAAGACATTAGAAACTTCTAACAATTGAAAGTCTCAGTTACCCCTCCTGGGTAAGAAATAAAAAGTTATACAAAAAAACAAAAACTTTTAACCCTTCAAGTTGAAACACATTGTATAGTTGGTGTATTAACCAACAATGCTATCTGCAGCTACACAACTAGCATAGTGTGTTCTTGTTAACTTATTATCATTCCATTGATGTGGTCAAATTTGATGACTAGTCCACTGGACTACAACTATCGTCATCTTGCCAGTTTCTAGGTGAGAATATTGTCTATGATCACTATGTGCCCCTGGGGTTGTGGATTGTGTTAACAACATCCTCCAGACAGACACGTAAAGTCTTAACTATAGGGCTAAAATTGGGTTCCATTAACAGGAGAACTGAACATTTTACGTATTATTTCCAGCCTAAATACATTTCGGCCTAAAACATCCATTATAGAATTAACAATTAAGCAGAACTAAATTGTCTTAATACCTGCACGTACAAGTTATGCTCATTTCTGTAGACAGGAGTAACGCAGATCAATGTTAAGGGTCACATATCTTATTATAACGTCTTTAAATAATCATTATAATGTTTGTTTTACAGGTAAATCTCCTCTCTCACTCTGTAGAGAGAAAGAAGGAGAATTATATGAAACATAAAGATGTCTCTAGGTGAACAAAGACTTACATATAGAGTTTTATTTTAGATTTTCATTTCTTGTGTTCAGTGCAAGATATGCAGGCAATTTTCACTTGAGATGCTACGGCAAATTCTAAGATGAAAACAATTTATTGAGCAGGGATGCAGCCTAAAATGGGGCTTGAGATATCAACGATGGTGTTTGGGCAGCGCAGGTGCCACAGTAGTGATAACACAAAATATAGTTATAGTGTGCATATGCAAGAGCTTAATCAGTCACACAAACAGGCCCCCTGGCTTTGCTGATGTATTTGACAGATTTATGTGATGTTCATGATTATGAATGCCAGCACAGCTGTGTTGTTATCTTTTGTTGCCAGAGATAATACAGGACCCATGCAAATGGCCAAACTGAAATCCTCAGCTGCAAGGCTGAGCAATATCACAACTACACAACTACAACACAATAGAACCCCTTAGGGATCACGTTAGTGCCACTGACACCTGTATCTATGGAGTAGGAATGTATGCTCAAATATCTGGTTGGCAAAGGCTGATGACCCATAATGCAGCACTGCAATATATATTGGCACTATATAAATTGTAACAATCAGGGTTTCAAAGAGAGACCAGTTATCCAGTACTGTGGCTACGCACGGAAACAGGATGTTTGGGAACATCAGTCAAGTTATACATCACACTTCATAATTTCCAAGTTGGGGATCCAGAATGATAAGAGCATTGTGACCTAATATGGTATGCAGGAGAGGAATCGTATACACAACTTATGGTTACCTGTGGCTGATATTTGGGTCTCTAAAAGACGCATATTCCAACTGTTACAGACACATGGCTCTCAGTTACTGTAGGGATTTATTCACTATACCAGGGATTTTGAATAATTGACAAAGGTATATTAGTCCTAATAACAAAATTGGAAAAAAAAAATTCCAGCTCAGCTATTTAATCTAAAATTTGTTGAACTCTTGTCAACCCATTGAAACGTGTAACAGTCATTATTCATCTTTACAGTGTGAAGACGTCTCTGTGTGTCAGTGTTTACTGTATAAAAATCATTGTGTATTGTGTGCTGATGTTACCAAGTGTTTTTAGATAATAGATCATTTCAATCAGTCCCATAGTGACTAATACAAGATACAAAGAAGCAGAAAATATTTTATGCAGAAATCTCTGGGTTACAAATCTCAAAATCTGAAGAAAAAAAAATTACTGTTATAAATGACAGAAAATATGTATGTTGTAAAACCACAACTGTAAAAATATTTTTTTTAAAATTAGTTTAAATATTCTCTCTCATCCGGTAAGATGTCAAAAGAAGAAAACAAGAGAAAGCCAAGCTATTAGATGGTGACCTGATCAATTTTGCGTCCCCCCAACCCACGCTAAGGCTCACTCGGAAATGACAGCCTGTGTTGTGTACTGAACTGTGGCCAAGATCTGTCTAATAACTTGGGATAAAATGTGTTGTAAGATAATTAATTAACCATGTGTTGTTAATGTTACATTCATATATTGCTCAGTTCCCTCCCAGAATAAATTAACTGGTAATAAGATTTGTAGCACAGCAATTCTATCAGGTGAAAAATATTTTTGATGAGGAGAATATTGCCTTAAGATCAAAATCAGGTTGAAAGCAGATGGCACAAAATTGAACTACATTTAAAAGTAGTGTGCCTTTAATGGATCATCAGATTTATTGCTCAAACTGCTATGCTTTCCCATTCCAAGAAAATGAATGTTCTGAGGTTGTAGCAGACATGCTAGGAGCTAAGCATGAGAATGGGAATTGCCGAAAGTATTTCAGTTATTGTGGTATTCTAAACTGGTCACTGCAGGATGTTCTCTAAACTGTGAATATTGAGAAAAGACAGGGAAATCTCAAATTTGTGAACACATTTTCTTTGAGAACCAGATATATGATATGCACTGGTTTAATTTTCAACACAAATATGCTATGTCTGTGTGTGATACAGGACAGGCAGGCCTTGGTGACCTGTGCGACAGCAGAGCCCTGGCAAGTCGCAGGAATTGCAACAGGCAGAAGCACAATTCATGTGGCTGCCACAAAGTGAGACTGCCGTGGCTCAGTGTGAGGGAGAATGCGAGATTGGGTCCCCGCCTTCTCAACACACACTGCACATTACCAAGTGTGAAGCTTGGGAAGGCTTGCACTGAATGGACAGCAAGGGCCGGTCAGCAAGGGCCGGTCAGCAAGTAAGCCACAATACAGGATGTGGGAAAACAAAAGGGATTGTGAGAGACACATTGGTGGGTGGTAGAGATAAACACATGAAACACACATAGGGCATGGAGAGGTGCACACAAGGAAGAGAATAGAGAGATAGAGAGGGAACCCTAAAATGAGCCAGGAGATGGACAAAAGGGGGCATAAATAGGGACACACAAGGTAGTATATGGAGAGGATAAGTAATGATGGATGGAGAAGGGGCATCACTCCTAAGGTTCACATGGGGTGCCTGTCGGCCGGCCATATTGTTAGTTGCTGTTTACAACAGCTGGAATGTATATACCTGACTGCACAGTGGAGCATGTGTTAAGTTACTGAAAGTTAGCTCTGTTCCTGAGTAAGTACACATAGTTAACTCCTTATAAACATCTTTCTAGCAGGGAGAGGACTTATTGTATAAGTAGAAGAGATAAGGGCTTGTGGTTTAAATCGAGAACAAACTGAAATTGTATTACCTGCAGATTGAGTAAAAGGTCAGTAACTGTCCAAATACATGCATAAATGCTTTAATGGACACAAAAGTCACCTAAATCACCTCATCGCAAAGTAAAACATTGCAGTTTTCAGAAACAAAAAAGTTTACATTGCAGGGTTAAGTCTACCTCTAGTGGCTGTCAGTATCACTGCCTTCTGCTGCACTGACCATGTAAAATTTGGTCACATAACGCAGAACTATCATTTCTTTAGGTCATTATATTGGACATTGACAGAGCAGGCCATGGTGCGGGAAAACGTTAGATAAATCTTTACATTTTTTTGTTTTGTTTTAATGCACCCAGGGGTAGGAGGAGAACTGACCAACAGTGGGGACAGGGTTATTATATTCTTTATGAATACACATTTCTATTCCTAACGCTATAGTGTTCATTTAACGTCAATGCATTCATAGTGACTTAGGGGCAGATTAACATACACCATAAGTACATCACTGGTCTATTACATGATAGTAAATATAGGATTAATCTAACATAACCATACCTGATAACAATATGGCCAGTGGACTAACAGTGGCACACCAAAATGAGGGATGTCAGTCTGGCATGTCCTCTGGTTGGACCCATTCAGTGCAGCCTTTGCACAGAGCACTCCTGCAACATTCTGAGTATGGGCTTAATGTCCTGATAGCTCTATGCACAGTGTGATTGTGTCTTATAATGCACTCACACTCTGTACCTGGGACAGTTGGCAGGTATACATTACACATATTACAAGCATCTGTTTAGTTCCTGACTTTTTGCTCAACCTGTCCATATACATAGGATATACCATGTCCATTTTGTTCCTTGCATGATAAACTGGTACATCAGCAAACATCATCATATGTAAACATATGGAACTCAAATGATACATTGTTTCCGTACATTATCATCTTTGTCAATCTTCTGTTACATTTCCTTTCTCAACTCATCACAAAAAAACGTCAGATGGTCAGCAATTCAGCCCCTGGGGCTCTATAGTGTGGGATGCTGCTGAATAGCCTGTTTTTTCTTGCTGAGGAGAAAACCAGCGAGTGTTTTATTGCACCAGGTTCTGCAGAACTACTATGTAAGTTGATATGTTTGTAAAAGCATATGTTGCAAATCTAGCTTATTGTTAACATTTTAATGAGCCCAATATTGTAAAACATATGTAAATATTAAAGGAACATTGAACTAATATTAAATGTTATGTTATAGCGTTTTCATAATAAACGAGTTACTGAATCTCCTCTTCTGGGAGATAGAGAGTCTAGATTAGAAGACACAATCTAAACAACATTTCTAATCCCCTCTGCGGTACTGGCTGGTTTTGTACAGTCAGATGCCAAGTACTTACTAACCTAGAGTTTCAAGAAATAATATCATAATTTGGTACCACATGAAAATTAACTCCTACAATGGGAGCAACATGAATTACAAAAACAGCCCTACATGAAACACACAAACAAAAAGAAAATAAGTGATAAAGCTAAAAAAAATGAAAAATAAAATAAAAACAAAAGTACAATACAGCAAATACAATTCAAACAGCCTACCAGAGCGAGATTTGGTACTCAGGGAAGTACCTTCCACGGATTGCACCCATTATTTTGTATCTTTTACATCTAAGAGCTATCCTATGCAATTTTGTTGGGTCTTAATAGCCACATATTTCTAGCAATGTTCCATCTGTTAATGCTATACACAATGTTTCTGTGTTTTAGAATATTAGAAGCACTATTTTATTTTAACTTCGGTAATTGCTAGATCTTGATTCGCATGGGGGCTATGTCCTTTTTCAACGGTTGCCTGCTTCCCTGTTAAAAGTCATTCTACAATAGACATGAGAAGATTGCGTTCAAGCAGCAAAGGCTACCTACAATCATGAGACCTGCACTGTGTATACTGCTCTACTAATTTTTATGAGGTTGACCCATACAGCCTTCTGTTATGTCTCACTAGTATTCATGCTGTTTGATCACTCTTCTAGAATGTCATACACTTAGGTGCCTTTGCTTAACTGGGGAAACCTGATAACCAGGTCTACGCATTATAGAAATTTAGGACCTAGACCTCAAATTATCTAGAGAAGTAATTCTGAAATGTGGTCCATTTCCCTATGTAAACACATGTGGTTTAAAATCTGACTTTCCATCAGGGTTTGGAGCTCTAGAACCACCATCAATGTAGAATTTTAAAGTATGTTCTCATAAGGTATGTTCTCATATGTACACAGGTTGAACTGTCAAAAACAGACACAGACTAATCTACCTATAGACATATGGGACAAGGCCAAAGAATATACACTGAGGATTAATGATGTGGGCCAACCTTGTGTCAAAGAGAGAGAAGAAGAGAATATATTCTTGGCAATTATAAACTTGCTAAACAGATTTAATCTTTGAACCTGTGAACTCAAGTTACTAATTACAAAATGAAAGTCATATTAATGGATATTTAAAGTCCGTTCTAATTTTTTTTATTAATTTGGGTTATTGATAATTGGTATACTAATGTCCCATAAGTTTTATCATTTCTGCATGATATGAAATGAAGGGTGGATTTGCTGTCTGAAGATATACAAGATTCAAGAAATCTCAACAAACTTTTGTATATTACCTACTGGGTTCATAATGAATTGAATAAAATGGAAATCTAAATTGGGCAACTGTGCTAACTGCTATTCCAGGGTGGCCCCTGTAACCTTTAACTATGTGTGCATTTTGAAGCCCAGTACTTAAACAGATTTTTTATTTTCTAATAAGCACTGAATAGAGAAAAATCTATAGGGAATAGTCTTTAAACTGATGGTAATCAAAGTGAGAACCCTATTATGTTTAACCATTTATAACTACTACAGCAGCTTATATTGATTTGCAATGCTCTGCTGAACAATAAAAAGGGTCACCGCAGTTTGGGGATTCAAAAGGACAAGTGTTCCAAAGATTACCAGACCAAAGGCCACAATTTTAGCATTTATGAATAACGTATGAAATATATATTTAAAAAAAACTACTCCTTAATTTCAGGCAGTAAATATATTAACATGTTAAATAGTATTATCCATATACTATTATCTGTAATAAAAATCTATTAAAACAGGGGAACAGGGAATATTTACATGGATTCCTACAAGCGATTCCCCCCCTCGCAAAATCCTATTTTATTTTTCACCTTTCCTATATGTCTGCAGATCCATGATAAATTTGCATTTTGTTATTTTTTTCAACATATTGCTTTGATTTCCTTGATAGGAATTGACAAAGTGGTCTTTTTCTTCCAGGATTATTGATTACAAATAATCTGTGGAATTCTGCACCAATCGGTTAAGCCAAGTTCTTTTATGTTAGGCCAAGGGGAGCTGGGTGCGATTTGTACAATTATTGCTGAGAATTGTAATGTCCAATTCCACCTGACTTTTAAAAGTTTTCAATTTTGAGGTCTCGTTTATTCATTTGTGCTTCCACTTCAGCCAGGTGTTGGATCGGCTGTTTGTTTTGTGTGTTGTGGTCCTTGTGCTTGCTCAAATATAGATTAGTAAATTAGTCTTATAAGGAAAAAATAGAAAAAGTCACAGATGGACTTCAAAATATGGATTTGGTGGAGTCTGAAAAAGGGGTGAATTGGGTGTAGACTGATAAAAGTATAAGCTCAGTTGAGCACAGGTCGATCATAGTAGAAGTTCAATCAAACACAGTTTGATCAATGGGGTATTAGCTCAGCTAAGTAGAACTTTATTTGGTAGAAGTTTAGTTGCTATACTCAGTGGAGAACAGGTAGATCTAGGTATAGGGTCAATCGAGCGATGTGGGTAAAAGCTCAGCTGAACACAAGCTGACAAAGGGATGATGCTCAGTTTTGTGGAGGCAGACCTGGTGATCTGGATGGAACAGTCTATCATTTCGAGGCTGATCAGGGTAGATACTTATGATCGATCTTAGGTGTTCTTTGCAATCTGTGAAGTGGTTGCTGGTGGTGCCTCTTCTTTTTCTATCCTTTGTAGAAGCCAACTTTCTATCTCTTGGAATACAGAGCTAGTGACCTCTGGCAGTTCTTTGTGCAACGCGTGGAATCCGGTTTCATAAACCTACAGATAAGACATACACAGTGAAAACTTTTTCAGGTGATTTATTTGACCGGTTACTGGGAAATAGGAAGCTGCTTAACAACCACACCTGGGGTAATAGTGGACTAGTATTCTAGCTGTTTCTCTGAACCAACATTGTTTCATGGTGTTGTGAAAGGAAAAAAGCTCCAAGCTAGATGAGAAAAATAAAGTTAAAGACCAGGAAGGAAAAGCATTAAAGGGACAGATACAAGAACAGAAATTATAGATGACAGAAATTGAGGATGATAAACTATACTCATAGGAGAACCAGTAAATAGTTAAAACAAAGACTATATTTGTCAAAACCAGAATTATCACAAATGTCAAACAGTGCTTACATTATGAAATATGGGGATACTCCAGACTGCAGTGACTGGTAGTATGTGTATGTATTATTCCAAGCACCATAACAACAATAGCAGTGATCTTCTGGCTGTCAATAGAGGCAGTGACTGGCATCTTACAGACCACAGATGAAAAGTAAAATTATTAACAAATGGTGCCAGGGCACTCCTGACAAGCGCTGTAGTGGTTATGGTGATTGGAGTGTTTCGGGGGGGGGGGGAGCTTTTGTTTCTATCCTGCCATCTCATTTCTTGAAGTCTTCGAGAAATGACTACTTACTACTTAGTTCTAAAATACTTGGAATGGCAGCTTAGACAAGCAAAACATTTCAGACAGCAGCTGGACTGTCTAAATGTTTGGAACACTGACATCTTAAAAGATCAGTGGCTTGGCAGATTAACCCCTGATTTCCAGGAAGTAAACATAGGCTTTCCTTTCCCTTTCAGACGTATGCAAAAACCAACATTTTTGACATCTTAAAGATACACAGCAATAATGTAAATAAAAGTGTTTACTGTTCTAAGTTTACAGTTGCAAGTATGTGAACACTTTGGAATGATATGGATTTCTGCACAAATTGGTCATAAAATGTGATCTGATAATCATCTAAGTCACAACAATTGACAATCACAGTCTGCTTAAACTAATAACACACAAAGAATGAAATGTTGCCATGTTTTTATTGAACACACCATGTAAATATTCACAGTGCAGGTGGATAAAGTATATGAACCCTTGGATTTAATAACTGGTTGAACCTCCTTTGGCAGCAATAACTTTAACCAAACGTTTCCTGTAGTTGCAGATCAGACGTGCACAACGGTCAGGAGTAATTCTTGACCATACCTCTTTACAGAACTGTTTCAGTTCAGCAATATTCTTGGGATGTTTTGTGTGAATCGCTTTCTTGAGGTCATGCCACAGCATCTCAATCGGGTTGAGGTCAGGACTCTGACTGGGCCACTTCAGGAGGCGTATTTTCTTCTGTTTAAGCCATTCTGTTGTTGATTTACTTCTATGCTTTGGGTCACCCATCTTCTGTTGAGCTTCAGCTGGTAGACAGATGGCCTTAAGTTCTCCTGCAAAATGATAAACTTGGGAATTCATTTTTCCTTTGATGATAGCAATCCGTCCAGGCCCTGACGCAGCAAAACAGCCCCAAACCATGATGCCCCCACCACCATACTTCACAGTTGGGATGAGGTTTTGATGTTGGTGTGCTGTGCCTTTTTTCGCCACACATAGTGTTGTGTGTTTCTTCAAAACAAGTCAACTTTGGTTTCATCTGTCCACAGAATATTGTAACAGTACTGCTGTTGAACATCCAGGTGCTCTTGTGCAAACTGTAAACGTGCAGCAGTGTTTTGTTTGGACAGCAGTGGCTTCCTCTGTGGTATCCTCCCATGAAATCCATTCTTGTTTAGTGTTTTACATATTGTAAATTCGCAAACAGGGATGTTAGCATTTGCCAGTGACTTTTGTAAGTCTTAAGCTAACACTCTAGGATTCTTCTTCACTTCATTGAGCAGTCTGCGCTGTGCTCTTGCAGTCTTCTTTACAGGACGGCCACTCCTGGGGAGAGTAGCAGCAGTGCTGAATTTTCTCCATTTATAGACAATTTGTCTTACCGTGGACTGATGAACAGCAAGGCTTTTGGAGATACTTTTATAACCCTTTCCAGCTTTATGCAAGTCAACAATTCTTAATCGTAGGTCTTCTGAGAGCTCTTTTGTGTGAGGCATCATTCACATCAGGCAATGCTTCTTGTGAAAAGCAAACCCAGAACTGGTGTGTGTTTTTTATAGGGCAGGGCAGCTGTAACCAACACCTCCAATCTCATCTCATTGATTGGACTCCAGTTGGCTGACATCTCACTCCAATTAGCTCTTGGAGATGTCATTAGTCTAGGGGTTCACATACTTTTTCCACCTGCACTGTGAATGTTTACATGGTGTGTTCAATGAAAACATGGCAACATTTCATTCTTTGTGTGTTATTAGTTTAAGCAGACTGTGATTGTCTATTGTTGTGACTTAGATGATGATCAGATCACATTTTATGACCAATTTGTGCAGAAATCCATATCATTCCAAAGGGTCCACATACTTTTTCTTGCAACTGTATATGTCAGCACAGCTGATAGCTGGATATTATTCCAGCAAAGTAAACACTGTCACTGGGTGATGTGTATATTATAAGCACAACATTTCCAATTTAACACTTATTCATAGCTCTATATGTTTACTTAAGCAGTGGTATTTAACCTAAAATATATGGAATGTATTTATACATGCACAATTGTTGTTATCCGACTTAAAATGAGTGACATAATAATACCATGTGACTATGTATGTAGAATCCTATGTTAAACCTGCTTAATTTGGCAGGTCTGATTGGGAGGACTGAAACATTGTGCTAATAAATAAGGTATGGTGTACCATTGTGTTAAAGTGCAACATCACGGCTAGCTCTACTGTATGGTAAACACTACCAGTAGCAGGATCTCTGAGTGACTACTTCTGGTATAAGAGAAGGGATTTACTGAAAATATTTGGGTTGTAAAGTAAATTACCCTTCCTTGTTTTATTGGTGATTTGAGCTTCAGATTGTGAATTAAAATAAATAAATATATTGGATTAGCCCTATTAGTCCAGTAGACAAGATGTGATGTCATGCAGCTTGTCGTTACCTTTAGAGTTTTGTCCTCGCTGGGAACAGTATCCATCATAAGATGCGAGCCTCGAATGTCACACAGTTTGTCTGCCGTGCCATGCATTAACAATAGTGGTAGTTTGAAATTGGGCAACGCTCGCTCGACTCGTGATGTGGCATTCAGTAACTGCACTCCAAAGGAAACCTTCATTCCTCCATGGTAAACGAGTGGATCTGTCATATATGACTCGACCTATGGCAAACAATCTGATTACTATCTCTATTCTTTAGAGAGCAGCACCACAAGAGAAAAGCACCATTTTAAGTAACTTAGTATACAGTGCTATAGAGTATTTTGGTGCTATATAAGTAATTATATGTAGTAATAATAATAACAATTAATGTAGTAAAATCGTGCTATGAATATTACCTATCCATGATGGGAGTTATAATCCTAACTACAGTCTTTCCCCTGACAGGAAACTGCATCTTTTAATTTGGAAACATACAGCAGATCTGACTGGTGACTGTAATTCACTCTCCAGGTTGAGAGAAATTCATGTTTATTCCATCCAGTGGAACTGTAGTTACAAATCGAAGCACAACATTTAAGCTTCAAGTAAAAAAGATGTGACTATAACCCAATAGGAGAATTTCAATTCACAGTCATTGATTGTTTAAAGGAAACACGGCGCAGTGCTTATGGTGCCAGGAATGCCTTGTTGACATCACATTGTAAGTATTCAAATGATTTTAGAACAGGAACTTCTGTTAGCTTTTGTTAGCTCTTTTGAGCTAAATCCTGAATTACAGGGCCAACTCATTGTCAGAGAGCATCAACCTGCAACATTTAGCTTAGCTAAGACTCACTGTCTCTCTACCAAAAATAGGGGAGGCATGGAAAAGCACACGTCAGATTCCAGGTAAAAAGTCAACCTTTCTAAAACAGTTTGACTACTTACATGGGGGTCGACGGGGACCAGAGCACTGCTGTCACCATAACCATACATTACCCTGTAAAGGTAATGTGTTTGGTGTGTTTCTTTAATGAATAAAGACCTAATGTTTTTTTTAGATTAATTTGAGTAGTTAAAAAAAGCTCATTACTGCCTTAAGCAAAAACAAATGAATCAAAGGTTGAGTTGACCCATTCATATATACAATACATCATCAAAAGGATGCTTCCAGTTAACACTGAGCTTATTTTTTACATCACATTTTACAGAAAATATATTTTCTTAGAATAGTACAAGAAATAAAAGTACCTATATGCAAGTCATTTACAAAAAAAATATTTCAAGAAGTGACCATTTTCTGCATTAATTCTATACAGAGCTTCAAAATTGTTTCGCAATAATTAAAGGGACACTCTAAGCACCTAAACCACTACAGCTTAAGGGGAACCTCTAACCACTTAAAAACAAATCTACTTTTTTTTACGTTTAAAATTCCCGAATGGGCATTCTCTTTAGCCCTCCCCTCCAAACCTGCAAGTTAAACGGTAAAGTTACCTGGAATCCAGAGCCGGACAAACCTTCCCTCGCTGGATTCCACACCCTGTCTGACATCACAGCCTCCCTCTTCATGATCCAATCAAATGCTTATAATTGAGACACATTAAGCTTCCTCTTGCAGGTGAACTAGAAAGCCACTGGAGGGTCTTTCTAGTGTGGACTTGCAATCTTTGCAGGACTGATGTTCAGCATGACGGCACTGAACCCACCCCATAGAGATGCATTGGATCAATACCTCTATATGAGGAGATGCTGATTGATGCAGCATGAAAATTGCCACTCATGCACACTAGCCCCCCCAAATGTTTGCCGATAGGGAAGCTTTGAACTGACTGAGATTATTAGTAATGATGATCTCAGCCAGGGTAGGAGCAGCGACTATGGCGAAACTGGAGCACAGGTAGATATATGGTTAAACTCTTTAATTTATTGCTTCTGGAGGGAGGGCATACATCTAAATATGTAGTATAACAAATTCGAGTGTGGTAAGTGACAATACTTAAATTCAAATAAAAATAACAAGAAAATTATAGCTATGTCCCTTTAAAGAGGAACTGTTTAAGTTTGATTTGGTGACAGTGATGTTTTCCCTAGCCGCCAGTTAACACCACCAAGGTAGTTACAGTGGTGAGGAGCGCAAAGGGAGGAAATATAAAATGTGTTGCAATTTTGAGAGTTACTGGTATCCATTTCACAAGCTGGTCACCTTCACATGATCCATGCACACTCACTAAACTTGACAGTACTAAACGTGAATTGTATTGAATGTAAATCTAAAACATAATATGAAATAATGAATATCAACAATGCTAGACGGTGGACACTAGGTGGCATTGCTTCAAAGTTTCATACGGGCGCCTGAATGTCCAAAGATGACTTTATCTGCTATAGTCACAGCTCGCTTACGGTGGTCTTCATTTTGCAATGTGGATTTCAATTCACTACAATAAAAAAACAGTCGATTCTTGGTTTGTGTCAAACTGCTTGAATATGGTTTCACATTATCAGGGGATGGCACTAGAAGCATGCTGGCACTATAACTATTACAATGGACTGTAGTGGTTATGGTGCTAAGAGTGCCCATTTAAGGATACGGTTATTTAAAATTGTGCACCATAAGCATGAATAAAGAAAAAAACTTTTTCTTTTTTAAATAGTTTCTGTGACACTCTGAAACATCTGTTCACATTTCCTCCTACTCGATTTGTATGAAGTAAGAATGTGCACATTAGATTTTTATCATTTCCATCGTAGGCGGAAAGATAATATTAAATATACAAGAGGTAGAAGTAATATAAGCCCAATTCATTTTAGATGAGTAAGGGTTCATCTTTGTTAATTCATAAAGGAATAATCCATTATATTCACTTTCCATTCCTTTCTGATTTCATAAATTTCTATCTCCAGATAAGAGGCAGTGTAAGAAAGACAGAAATCTGCTTTTAATAAAATGTCTTGTACAATGTGGCCATGGATCATGTAATGGGCTGGTACTGGTTACACAGGATAAGCATGACAGTATGTTCAATTCCCAAAGCCAACAATACATTTATTACAGGACTATGGGGGAAGGCAGGAAAGGGGATGATGATGGCTATGGAAAGGGCAAAACGTGAAACCTTATATATAAAAAAAAAAATAATAATTTAAGTTTTGCCAGTTTCCATAAAAAAAAAATTAATAGAAACTTCCTCTGTCATATTATTATCACCGTTACATGATTATTTCTATAAAAATTACAATGACCACAATCATATACACACAAGTATTTGTTGTCTCAGTTGTAGCTTTCTTTTTTTTTGGTTGTGGCCTATTTTCTCACTATCAATCTGAAAAGGAGGTAGCGTTATCTACATTTCTGAGGAAAAATCATCAAATGAATATGTCAACAGAAACTATAGGTTTCCAAACAACTCCTTAACAAATATATAAGAAACCTATATTTAAATGCCCCGGGGGGGCAGCCGGCCAGCTCTTGGGCCTCCTTAAAACGAGGCTAACAAGGCATTTGCCTGGGCATTTGGGGGCGGCAAATGGAAAAGTACCGCCAAAGGTGAATGCCTTGTTAGCCTCGCAGTAAATGCATCGCTGGCCTGAACTGAATTGTGATGTTAATTAAAATTTTTAACATACATTAGATTCTGGAACCCCTTTTAATGTAAGAAAAATAATAATGAAAAAAAAACGCCTTTAATACATACCTGTAATCCGGCACTGTGACAATCTCCTCTTGGCTGCCATACTGCTACCACTTCTGAGATCATCAGATGTAATGATCTCAGTCCAATTCAATACGTCTCATAGAGAATTCCTACAGACCTATGATGGATGCGCAGAAATCACGTAACTCAATCAAATGCTTCTTATATAAAAGCACTGAATCTTACGTTTCTCTATGAGAAGCATTAACAGGCACAAGGAAGTGCCTGTAGTGGCCGTCAGCCTGACAGCCACTAGAAGCAGCATGTTTTCTCTGGGAAGAGGAAAGTAACAGCATTCATTAAGATGCAATGGTTTTGGTTCTTAGAACATGTGTTTAAAAAAAAAGTAGGTTTCACATATGTAAAAGGTTAACACAAGTTTCAGTTGTGTACTTCATGGAGAAGTGACAGTTCGCCTCAGAGTTGTTAATCTTGTGGTGTTTCCCAGAAGTATGTGTTTTTCACAAGAGTGTCTGCTGAAATGGCTAATATAATAACAAGCGAATGTCATCTACCTTTCTGTTATCCATTTAAAATCAGCCTGTTTTTAATGGAGAGAGAAATCTGTGAAGTTATTTTTTTTTTTTTTAGTAATGAATGCAGTGCCTGACCTAAGGATAGCTCATGAGGCAAAGTTAATAAACTCTAGTTAAAGTTTATTATTAAAAGAGTCAAGTTTATAAGAACAGCCATGTGAATTCACCCATGGAAAAATTTAACCTTTAACCTTTGGTATAAACAGGAAGAAAAGAATTCTGTGAGTAAGCCTGACATTATGACCTTGAGAAGACATGCTTCATCTCGGAGCTTTGCTCTATGAAGGGGTCTGCGTATTCCTTGAGGTTAAAGGGTCAACCCACCACAATGCTTTATAGTATACAAAACACGAGAAATACAAACTGTGCCCAAAAAAAAGGCTCTGAACTTTAATGAAATGGTTTGTTCACCAAATATTGGAATTGTAGAAGACTGATTAGGAAATAGTATTTTTTTTCTGCCAAAATCGCCAAGCCAGAATTTTTTTGCTTTTTTCCATTGAGTAATTTTGCCTAAAAGTTAGAAATTCTTTACGTATTTGTCACTACTCTCTGTTTAGCGAATAAACTATAACTGTGACTGCAAATAGTATTTATTGAAGCTCAGGGTTCTGTAGCAAACAGGGAAATCATATCCTGTAATTATTGCAGTACCAGGAGACAATGAATCACATGTTATTTCCCAATATTAGCACATGAGGTTTTTTTCTACAATGTGACTTTCATAAGACAATGGCATCACAAGCACTTAAGGTTGTGCTACTCAACTTCCATACTAACTTATCACAAACTTAATTAAAGTCTCATTTTGCAATGTGTGACAGTGTCACAGGTTTACTCCCATAAGCAAGTCAACTTTCGGTGTAAAAGAGACTTAATAATAAAGTGAAGGTGTGCCCGAGTGTGTCTGTGTCACATGGCAGAGACAATAAGCCAGAAGAAATATACACTCTGCCTTACATAACATACTCCTCCTTTTACTAAACCAGGTCTCCGCAGGAGAAGGGTGGATAAAATATGAATGAGGATTTATAATTTAGGATTAGAGTCTGGTGAATTTTTAACCCCAGTGCAGCTATGTGAGGCAGGCCTGAGAAAATATTACTTCTGCCTGCATGAACAGCCTCTTATTTCCATTTGTGCCTGAGGAGCAAGAATTTACTGTGATATGCAGCAAAAGAGACATACGACATTTATTCACTAAACAGTACATTTTGGGAAACATTTCTAGAGCTGGGAAAATTTCCATTCAGAATGTTATGTTATATTACGATATGTCAATATATATATATATATATATACACACACACACACACACACATATATACATATGTACATACACACACAAATACACGCATTTTTACCCATGAAATTACATGCTGTTGAATCTATTAAAAAAAATGTATTTCAGTTATTGTCTAACAACCTAGTTTATTGTTTATTATATACACATAATTACATAATAAGAGAAAATTGTTTCATAAACGGACAACACAATCCCCAGTATTTGAAATGACTTTGTGCAATAAACAGCCACCTAGCTTCTCACTATTCTAAACTATTACTGTACATAGAACTAAATTCAAATAGTTTTATGCTCAGCGATAACAATAGCTCTAGGCACAGAGGATATATATGCTAACATGGGGATTACATATGGGCAAGTAATAGTCATTGATCTTAAAGTTCCTGTTCCTTTAAACTAGAGTAATGGGCAGACATGAAGGGGCAGGATTCTTTTTCTTACCAGTAATGGTCTGTTAAGGCATAATCAGCTGAAAACGATATTAACCCCTTAAGTATAGAAATAGGGGTTCCTTAGAGAAACCCTTTCCCCACCACTTTCTCCTACCAGTAGATCTTGTGCTCTCACCTCTTTTTTATTCCGAGATACCAGATTTGGGTCGATACCTCCCAGAGAGAGATTGGGGAGAACATGGTTCAATATTTTAGCTGCAAAAACCTGTTGAACAAAAAAAAAAGCAAAAAAAAAAAAAAGCAAATTCACTTTTAGTTTGGATGCAAAAGATACATGGCTGACAAAACAACACGCGTTCAAGCAAAAGAGGCCAGAATGTCCCTCTATAACGTCTGGCAAAATAAATAGGAAACACAACTATATGAAGGTAAAGCATCTAAGTTAAAAACAGGAACCAATTGTGAGCATCTGATGAACAGTACTTAATGTACCTTGCAGAGTAAAGGGATATTCAGTGAATTGTTTGTGTGCTATCTGGAAGGGTCATGTGGCACCCAAGTACATGCAATGACTATGAGAAGAAGTCTTGCAGGAATGTTCCACCCTTGAAACCACGGTAGGCTGGATAAGAAGCAAGATAGACTGTTGTACACAACAGACCATGAAGCATGGGACAACATTTAGTTACAATTTCGATTTGTCTTCTTTCATCTAGTGTAACCTAATTTTTGATTTAATCCTTGCTGTTTTCCTGTCATGTTAAAAGGGTGCTATGGTTACGTAAATCCTTTTCTAAATTCCTTTATTGTATTATAATGTGGATAAAGATGCTCGGAGACTAATCCATGAATTGACTATTTTGTTTGGTCTCTCTTTCAGAGGGAATCGATCCTGAAAATGTTTTTTTTTTGCCATTAAACATATAATATTGTTACTTAGCCCACTGATAGCAGATTGAGAAGTTCTAGGTCTATGCTCTTAAAATATTTTTCTATGTGGCATAAGGGGTACGTGTTCTCCTATTAAAGTAAAACAGGAAAATTAAATCACCATCTGAATGTGATACCAGATAATTTGAGATTCCCTGGATCTAGAGGAGTAAGAATGAAATTGCTTCAACATGAACTGTATCACAAACCTTCTTGATTATTGAAGTAGGAAGTACCCAACATGAAAAGTAAAATGCAGGGGGAACTTTTACTTAATTTTACCCAGACACAATTATACAATTGAAGTTTCCACGAGCACCAAAATCAACAGGTACCAAACTCTATCAATAGTGACTTTGTTTAAACAGAGAGATTTCCCACAATATTTCGCACTGATATTTAAAGGAAAGCTATAGTATATTTAAAGGAACATGTATTCCTAAAACTATAGTGCTGGAGTGGTTGTTAAGGTGACAGGCCTCCCTTTCTGTGAAGTAAAAGGTATTTAAACTTACCCTTTTCACCCTCTCTGCACCAGTCTTGCCGCAGCAGGCCACACCTCTGTGGCTTAGATCATCAATCTGGGTGATCTCAGCCAATCAAATCCACTGGGAGACTATTGCAAATCCCCAGCAACGCACTACACCAATTAGCATCTCCTTATAGAGATGCAATGAATCAGTGCCTCTCTAGGGGGGGAGCATACGGCGACGCCGAACGTGGGTGCTACACGCTGTGGAGGAAGCAGCTCTAGTGCCTGTCTGAGTGACAGCCACAAGGTCGTACTAGGTAGCCAAGTAAACACTGCCTTCTCTCTGGCATTTGATAGTAGGAATGTGCTTTTATGTAGTCTTTCCATTTGAGTGCTAGGATGAATGTAAATATACACATATGCAGTCGCACACAGTGACACAGATACACACTAACACACAGACACACACATGTACCCACACTAACATAAACAGATTGAAAGCTACACACTGTGGCACACACACAGATACAAACATATACCTACACAGACACACAAAGATAAACTCACATACCTACACATACACACACTGGAACCCAGAAACTGGCACACAAAGATACACACAATTATGTGCACATACACACACACATACATACACACACCACACAGATATACAAAGACACAAATTGCAATTTACATAATGTTAATCAACCCAATGTTTCAATACCTTTTGGGTGCATGGAGGTAAATTTGTGGGGCAGGCTTATGCTGATGGGAGTCTGAGGCTGTCCAGGCTGTCTGTCTGGAGTGAAAGTGACAGGTCCCAGCAATCTCTGCAGATATTAAAGGGGCCCAGTCATGCTGTCAAAGAGCCCGCAGCACCCGACTGGGCCCCTGATAAGATCTACCTGTCTGTCGGGTTTCCCCTAAGTGTATGGGCTACCTGATGGGCCCCCAACCCCTGCGAGTCCACTACCTGTAGTATGCAGTCAATGCAAGATCCAATGTCAGTCTCTGTAATTTTATCATATGTATAGTATTTCAAAGCCATGCTAAGGGGAACTGGACTAGATAATGTTCAGCTCACGCTGATCTCTTATTGGCTGAGCTTCACATGTACATTGCATACTTCCAATCAGTAAGAAATTTTGTGAAAAGGGAAGGAGTAACTAAGGAGGCAGGGTTATTCTTCAAAAAGCTTGACAACTTCATTTATTCATTCATATATTTTATGAGATTTAAAAGTAGACAAAGTACAGTACAAATGTGAGGCTAAAACCTATGAAATGCACCTAAATTGTTTTAGTGTCCAAAGTACCTTTTATATAAGTTTTCATTTCACATTTGGATACATTAAAATACATAGGTAGAATTAATTAAGCATGTCGATTTTTAATTGTGTTAATCCTAAAAGGCTGTATTTTTCAGCATACATGGGACCCCCATGGGTTTTTCCTCAGCTATGTATGTTCTTGTGACTGTGAATCATAATCTGTATTACAGCTAGACATAATGCTGGCAAAGCACCTGGGGAAATGTAGTCCCCAACATTTTGAGTTGCCTACCTCTGCCATACATTAATAGACACATTAAAATGACCCAAATATCAGTTTATTTTCCTCCTGAATACTGTTTAAAAGCGAGTACAAACATAGAAATTTGATTTAGGGATATTTGCCACTGCTGCTAATTGTGTCACATCTGCTTTCAAGTTTTAATAATTCCAGTTGTTCTGACTGTATAAAGACTGATGTCCTGCGATGCTATGAGACTTACCTTGAACGACGTAGCTGATTCCGGGTTGGGCAGAACTAAGGGAGATATCAGGATGACACCTGAGAAGTCGACAGATCTCTCACTGGCCATGAGGATGGATATGGCACCTCCCTGAGAAACACAAGGCAACAATATTTCTCATTACCCATAACGTTCATTCAGCATTCAGCACTAATTAACTGGAAACTCTATTTTTAACTTACATTGTGGGTTTACTTCAGTACTAATTATAGCACGAATGAGGTTTCTTAGGTATGTTTCAAACCACATTCTTGAGTAGCAGTAACAGGCCATTGTTTTGTTTTTTTGGTTATCAGCAAGTTATGTGATGCAGAATATTGCAAATTTAATTGAATACCCTCTTCAATTAAGTAAATTATCTTATCTAAATAAAATAAAACAAAAAATGGTACCTGCACACCATCCCAAATATCCCAATAAACCTTTTAAATAGCACAGTTTTCGGAACCAATTCCATGGACATAAAAGTGTAAGCTCACCTGGCAACACCAGGGCAAACCTCTAAGCTATTTATTTAATAAACCCTTGTCCCTTACCATGGAGTGTCCACAGAGAAAGATTGGCAAGTTGGGGTGCTCCTTCTTCATGAGGTCCAAATGCTGCAGGCCATCCCTGACATAAATGTGGAAATCAGATACCGTCATCCTCTCTCCTTCACTCTGACCATGGCCAACTGTGAAGATAATATATAATAAAGGCTCTATTAGTTCCTTAGATATAAAGGATTACAAGCAATCAATAAGGAAACTGCATCATGAAAAATAAGACTCTGTATTAATACACCTTAATAACAGGCAATATACAATATTGTTAAAATACAGTAAACACCATTGTTTTCGAGGAATTAATGTAGCCTTCAGAATTTATGGCGGAAGCACCTATAATTCCATGTAGCTACCTGTGATGGTAGTCACCATCACTGGGAGCATATATCTGACACTTTTTGCAGATCCCTGGATGATTCTTGTTTAACTCACGGTGTGCCCATTATAGGTGCAGGGTGTGTATTGTAATATAATTTGAAGAATGCATTGAGTTATCCTCTGTCTGGCTCTGAGGCCTGCGCAGCACCACTTGTCAGTGCAACAGTTGCACTACCGGAATAGCAAGGCTTGTTAATTTGCATATTCAGGTAGATTTGCACATTATGGTTTATACAGGCAAGGGACTATTTTTTGTTAGTCTTTGTCTTCCCCAAACCTTTATAAATATTGTATTGTATTATTATGAAGCAGCACAGGACATGATTTGTGTGCCGTGACAAGCATCTTCTAACCCTAGGACAATGGTTCACATTCCAGAGGGATTTACAAATGTCATTCCTGGGAGAGAAGCCACAAGATCAAAGGGTGTCCCGATTGGAGCTGCTGGTCCAGATGAAGATAGAGCTGGATGACAGGTAGAAAGCTCTGCAGTGATATGCATAGCAAGAATATTTATATGTTATGAGTGACTGTTCCTCTGAGGGCTATGACTTTGGCGACCCTTGATTATTATGATAAAGCATCCATGAGGACACTGAATTTGGACATGATGAGGATTCTTATTTCCGGGACATTAAAGAGCCCTGAGGTTATGTTGAACATCTCAGATGTACCAGAACTGGGACACGATTCTGGAATATCTAGTCATCAGAGAATGGAAACCCTATAGGAAGCTGCGCAATACTGTTCAGCATCATTCCCCATGGACTAAGGATCAAATGGATGCAACCACAGCTAAAGAGCTGGCATCAGGACAAAGTACTGCTGGCCTCTGCTTCCACCTTGCTTTTGTTGGTTCAGTCGTGGAGGAGAACTCTACATTGGTGGTTGAGCCCGAGGATCTAATCACACCCACAGCTGCAGCACTGGCATTGGACAAGTAAAGCGGGCCTTGGCCCTCACCTTGCTGTTGTTCCAGCAGTCATGGGAGTGGAGGAGACCTCTGCATTGGTTGATGAGCCCGAAGAGCTCACTGCACATTCAGCTGAAGCGCGGGCATCAGGACAGAGCACCACTCGCCTCTGCTTTCCCTATTAGTCTTTTCCTTTGCTTACTCCATCTAGCAGGAGCTCTGTAAGGTTCTGGACTCACTTACTCGGTGCTTACTTACTAGGTGCTCTTGACAAGGTTTAGATTAGCAATTGGAGTCCTAATGATCGTCAGAAGGACCAAATGATTATCTTTCTTGCCTACTCAAGAAGATTCATGAAGGAGTGTTCCATCCATGGGATATTGGGTTCTAGGTAGCTTCAGGATGGATATATGCCCAAAACCACTGGATTAATATTAATGGACTCTTGGTGTCCTGGGAGGGATATCAGCAATTTGGATACTATGGATAGTAAGGTATCACCTCCAGTACCCTCATCTATTTACTTTGAACTTTCTCAGCGACAAATCCTGTAATCACCCAACTGTTGGCTCACAGCATCCCACATCCAGGAGGACAAGGAATACTTGAAGGAGCTGTTGAATTACCAACCTTATCAAGATTCTTGGAGAGCTCACTACAATGGCTGAAAATCCTGGAAATATATGGCAAGCATGGACAATTAAAATATAAATATCTTTTGCTTCAATATTATTATTTTTGTATTTTTAAAATACATTATTTATATTATGCATTTAAAACAGAGGTAATTTCCAGCCTGCTGTATCTGTTTTAAAGGTCAGGGCATACTAGTAGTACCTTATTTCTTTAATAAAATAAAAAATAAACTTCAATTGACCTTCAGAAAGCAAGTTTCTGTGCCCTTTCTTGCATGCAGTGCATGTAATACATTTCAAGGGTCCTTTCAAAAAAAGAATGATTCATCCCTCTGTACAACAATTAAAGTGAGATATAAAAAGATCAGCAAAGTAATAAAAACAACCCTTTTTAAATTAAAGGTAATTAAGATATCTTGTTGAAGCTGAAAAGGCTTCTGTTCTTCAGCATATTAATTATCATATGAAATAGGCAGTTCTACATTCCCCAATTAACTGCTTGAATGCTAGAGGACAGCCAATAGAAGCTTGGTTAAAAATATATACTTTGTTCCTTCTTACTCGGCAGTTTTTTATTGTTCAGTACAGTGTTACTTGTTATGTGTTTATTAGCTCATAATTGTACACTATTGATGAGATTTACCGCCCTTGGTCCTGCTGACCAGTCTGTAGTATACCTGCTCTACCAATTATTATAACTATTTGACTTTTCTTAAGTTTATAACCCCTATGTTTAAAAAAAAAAAATTAAAAAAAATAACACAGACATTTGGGTGTAACATTCTGTAATACAATATATATGCTGCTATTGTGCTCTTTTGTCTGTTTTTAAATATAAAAAAAAAACAATTAAAAACGTTGTTGAATCATATAAACTACTATTTATCTGCTAAAAACTGTTTAGGACAAAATGTACTTTGTAACTTTTATTGCAGAAAAGAAAAATGCAAACAAAATAAATCCCTTATTCGCTGGTGTTTTTTTTAACCCTTACTAAATGAAATATGGTTTGGGCATTGACCTTTAATGCACTTTAGAGGGTGAGGTGCTGTAAAAGATGCATGTCTAGCAATCCTGCAGAGATAAAGGGTTTTATTAAGAGCTTTATCTGTTTATCATTTTTATGAAAGTTCTGACAAGTTTTCATCAGAAAATATTCAGTGAAATATCTTACACCTGTATAATCTATAATGCGCAGCAATTAGTACTTGTTAGTTAATATCAAGACGCCCACTCACGACTCTGTTTGTAAATTAACCTGAAGGGAAAAGCAGCAGATTTTAAGGCAAAACTTTCTTATAACTGGAAAAACAACACATAAAAATCTTGACTATAATCTTAAACTATCCTCAAATGTACATGAATAAAGGACACTAATGGATAAAATATTCTTGGGAATATTAAAATGGCACTGGAAGCTGGCACAAGTGTTATCATGCTTAAAAAAAAGAATACAAATGAAAAAGAACTCATTAAGAAGAGAATGGGAAGATCAGGACTGACTGTAAAAAAATAAAAGTAACCAGTCATGTTCTCTGTGAATAAGGGAAAGTAATGGGCAGTGCCTTTTTTATGATGTCAGCTACAGAATATAAAAAGTTACTTAAATGGGAGGGGCATCAAATGCCCTGCAAGCATGATTCATCGTTTCATTGTACAAATATTGCCACACAATGTGATGTGTGTAGGCGTAGCAGATACAGGGAGAAGTTACCCATTAGAGGGTTTCTGATTGGTTATAGCATTGCCAGAGTTAATATGATAGTGTGTAGCTAGAGCAGGGGTTCCAAATTTATTTTTCCCGTGGAACCCTTCCACATAGTTTATCAGCATTGTGGAACTAATGCTATAGTCTTATTTTAAATACAGTCCTATTAACACCCTACTAACATCATTAAAATACTCTTGTGATTCCATTCATGACCCAACACACCTGACCACCATCCAAGCGACCAACCAATCATACTTGTAGTTTATAACTATGTTTACTAATAATGCTATTAAAATACCGAGGGGATGTGTCCTGGAGTGGACGGAGAACAGTTGCATGTGCTGCTAGCTCCGTGAAAAATCGTCCCTTAGGCAATAATTAAGCCTCAAAATTCGGCACTTCCAGGCCTATACAGAATATCCCCCCACAAAGGAAAACGGAATGCGGACAAAACAGACAAACATAACTTGTTCTGAGTCAAATCCAGCTACTCAAGACCGGCAAATCCAGCTACCTAAGATGGCGGCGATACTGACCAAGAGCTAACACAGAGGCCTCCCTCTCCAAGCACACCACTCACCAGTGAAATGCTGCAAAACTTGCTGGATACGATGGCAGCTAAACTACAAAGCAATCTCCAGCAGTCCTTCTGCTACCTCCGCAGCGATATCCAGGAACTGGGTAGCCGCACCTCCACGCTCAAGATGGCAAAACCCGCGAAAGTCCACAACGCTCTGACTTCTGAGGTGCAAGAGCTGAGAGCTCAGTTAGACAGCTATAAATCCAAACTGGCAGACATCGAGGAACGGTCACGGTGAGTTAACCTCTGGGTCAGGGGGGTACCTGAGGAGATAGGAGCACAAGAGCTCCAAGCTTATATCACAGAATTATTTCATATAATAGCCCCCGAGGTACCCCAAGACATGCTGCTCATGGACCGTATACACCGGGTTGCCAAACCATCATTCCTACCACAAGATCTACCAAGGGATATCATCTTAAAGATGCATCATTATCACATAAAAGAAATAGTCCTAAAATCCAGCAGGACGAAGATGGATCTACCCCCCAAATACCGCACGGCTAAGATTTTCGCAGACATTTCAGCTCCCATCCTGAGGAAGAGAAAGACTTTCACTCCCATCACTAGCATTCTGCAAGATCAGCAAATTATGTACAGGTGGGGGTTCCCTACAAAACTAATAATTCAGCGTAATGGCAAAACTTCCTCAATCAACACACTGTACAAACAGAACATACAACAACATGCCCTAAACAAAGTGGGATTCAATATACGAAAGATGAAAGCCACACAATACTCACAAAGGAACAAAGCGGGGAAACTCATAGCTAACAGACTCAAACAAAAACAAGCCAACCAAGCTATCGCGCACTTAACATCGCGGACTGGCCACAAGCTCATGTCCCTGAAGGACATAAGTGACGAGTGCTCAGCAAACTAGTCGGACCTCTATAACCTACATCGAGACCCGAACACCCATCCACCTACGGGGGAAGACATTACACATTACTTAGACACCATACAACTATCGCAATTATTCCACCAACACAAATCTGACCTAGCGGCGTCAATAACAGAGACAGAGGTCAAACTTACTATGCTATTGCTACCCGCAGGCAAATCGCCTGGACCAGACAGGTTTGCTAACTCCTACTATAAAAAATTTTGAGACGACTTAGCCCCGCAGCTGACTAAGCAGGAGCCATAACCTCCCACTCACTCCCACCTGAGATCCTGTTAGCACATATAGTCACACTGGCGAAACCAGGCAAATCGCCCACAAGCCTGCAGAATTTCAGACCGATTTCCCTCCTAAACACAGACACCAATAGATGTCCTACACGTTCTACGCAACACCAAATGTAAGGGTTTATTGCTATCACTGGACGCGGAGAAGGCCTTCGACCGTCTGAGCTGGGGGTTCATGGATGCAGTGCTGAGAAAGATTGGTGCTCCGGGGACCTTTCTCTCGGCGGTCAGAGCGCTTTATGCGGACCCCGTGGCACAAGTACTCAACGTAGGGTTCCTATCCACCCGGTTTAGTATTACAAATGGAACCCGTCAAGGCTGCCCACTTTCACCGCTCCTTTACGTGCTAGCACTAGAACCCTTGTCGAACAGTGGAAGGAGGTGTGGTGTATCACCAAACTCTATAAATTGCACAAAAGCGAACCTCTGCGAACTCATTCGGAAACTACAATATCGTTGGTAACTGGTCCCGGACAGGTTGGCGCACATATTTCTGGGCACCTCCAACACTTGTTGGAGATGTGGAGGTGAGACAGGCACTATGTATCATGTTTGGTGGACATGCCCCATCATACGACAATACTGGGACATGGATGGTACAATAGTGACCCAAACCACGCCTCGAAGCATGCCTCTGACACTGGAGATGTGCCTACTCTTCATGGAACAGAAACCTATACCACGAATAGAACGCAAACTCCTATTCCACATCTTGATAGCAGCTAACACATTGATCACTAGACAGTGGAAAACAAAAAATGCACCTTCAAAGGAGGAACTACTAAGCAAAATAACAGTGAACTCGGCCTACGAAAGCACGGCAAACGCACAAATTAGAGCAGACACCGACACACAAAGGGCAGTAGACTTATGGACCCAAAGATGGGCCACCATGAACAACTTAAGCAGCAATACCAACCTTCCTGCCCTCCCCATAGCAACAGGGAATGATTAACATCCTCACGAAGGAGGAGTACAGGTTAAACTGTACATAACGCTTGAACAAACCCAACCAGGTCTCACGCAACCCGCTATTGAACATATCTGCAACCAACTTTACCCCGAGTACTGAATACCCCATCTGCGCCCACACTATGATCCATCTGGCACTTACCTGCACTTTTACCACATGCTCTCTTGCCTTAATACTTAACACCACCGCCAATGAAGGAAAATTATGATCTAATGGCAGCTACTAGGCATGAAGAGCTCACCCCACTCGCAGGCTCGGGTGTGGTATATATACAACACACGGGCACTGAATAGCAGTTGCAGGTCAGAGTACACAAGTTGCACGATACCTGCTCACACACCGGTTCTTCTTTGTTCCCTAGTATATCTGGTTACCCCCTCCCCCCCTCCGGTGAGTCCACTACCCATGATATATCTGTACTGTACCAACTTGCGTTAAAACACAGGGGTCTCTACACCTATAAGGACAGATGTCCCCTCTACAAGCATGGTCTCGAGCTACCCAAACACAAGAGTATATAAAAAACACAGGGCTAGATAGACACAATGATCCAAAAACACAACCAAGCCACACTATTCTAATTTACCAAGGATGGAACCACATCATAAAGCCAACAAGGAGAGGGGCCACTAAATGTAGCTCCCAAACAAAGAGGAGTGTCTAAACCCAAAGAGTAGAGGGAATAGGCAATTGCAAACGAATATAATGTGCTGTCTGATAAGTAATACATCTGTCCTACTTGGACCTCCAGGGTTGGAGCCCACGTGTATGGTACCTGAATACAATGCCAATTGTTCCCCATTAACCACTCCCCTTTCTTTTTTGCACCCCATGAATATTTGGAAAACAATAAAAATTGTCAAATAAAAAATAGTTCTTATACTCAGTGACCAGCACAACAAAACCACCGCCTTACAGGCAAACAACACAACTAGTCTTTGGGACGAGTGGCTATGTGCCACTAGTAGGGCACACTTCTACCAATGTTAGATATGAAGAAACTCTGCCCATAATATACAAATTAACAAAACACTGTAGTGTACAGCCACCCCTACATACCCCTACACAACAGCAGTTCTACACCGTTATATGTGGGACTTAGAAGGTGACCACGATGCAAATGTACTGTATTATATTTAAAATGTAATTGTTGACCACATTGTCATTTGTAACCGCTTTGTTTAAACAATAAAAGAAATAAAAGACGGGAAAAAAAATAGTTCTTATATTTAGAAAAATTATTTTAAAAGAACGCTAAATGACTAAGTAAAAAATAAATAAACATAGATGAAAGCGATATGACCTTGATAAGACCAAATATTTGTTGCTGGTCAAACATAAGACAGTCTGCTTTTAATTAACTATCATTTGCAATTTTGCAGGTAATATAACATGAATGGTTTGATGATATTTTGGTTGCCTTTTACCTACACCTGTCTGTTGTACAATACGCTTGTGTCTACTATATTTTGAAATAAAAAGTTATTACAGCAAGAATTTGCTATCAGCCTATCAACTTCTGCTCTTTTTTTATGAAAGTTTTGACAAGTCATTGTAAATATGCAGTGAAATATATTACACCCACATTATCTGTACTCTGCAACAAATTAGCACTTGTTAAATTAATATCACAACACTGGTTTGGAGACTAGGTTACAAATTAAAAAGTAAAAACATATGTATTGCAAATTTTACTGAAAACTTTTTTGAAACTGGAAGTAAAACTGATTTGTTTTTGTTACTCATGGGGCTTGAGTAAGCCAGAAAGATTCTCCTGTGTTCCTGCATACTCTCACTGAATTGTGGGTAATCCATAAATATGGGAATACTTGAAATGCCAAAAGATTTACCACTAACCCACCACTTAAAGGGACTCTCCAGTGCCAGGAAAACAAATCTGTTTTCAGTGTCCCCCTCCCGTCCACCCCCTATCCCATGTTGCTGAAAAGGTTAAAACCCCTTCAGTGACTTACCGGAATCTAGTGCCGATGTCCCTCGGTGCTGGGTTAGGATCCGCCCACGCCCCCCCTCCGACGTCATCCAGCGGGGGAGACCTAATGCGCATGCGTGGCAATGGCCGCGCATGCATTAGACCTCGCCATAGAAAAAAAGCATCATTCAATGCTTTCCTGTGGAGTTTGCAGTGACGAGTCCAGCGTCATTTAAAACACTTTTGTGTTTTAAGAACCGGGAAGTCCCTCTAGTGGCTGTCTGATAGGCAGCCACTCTAGGAGGCTGTCTGATAGGCAGCCACTAGAGGAGGACTTAATCCTGCAAGGTAATTATTGCAGTTTATAAAAACTGTAATAATTACACTTGCAGGGTTAAGGGTGATGGGAGCTGGCACCCAGACCACTTCAATGGGCAGAAGTGGTCTGGGTGCCTGGAGTGTCCCTTTAACCTATTGCACCAAACAGCTGAGGTCTGTAGAAGAAGATTTTGCAATAGGGCAAAAAAGAGACAAACGTGATAACAGGAATAGATAGTGAACATGGTTCTCCCCCAGTGGGCTTACAGTCCATAGAAGGCATCTTACAAGATTAAGAACATGTTGAAAAGCGAGATCTCCAGGCATATAGCTTGTATCTAGTTAAACAAATGAATGAAGACGTGTAGGAAAATTGTAGACTGTAAATGTAAGGAGAGTACACAGCCTATGATATAAGCTTAGTAGTACTGTATAAAGATATGTGAGCTGGGGAGCTCACTCTAGAGCTCACTATAGAAGCTGCAAAGGAAAGGGACTGTAGCAAATTCAGGAACTCCAAATATGTAGCCTCTAATAAAAACTGGCAAGGTATAGATATATTGAGCAAAGAATTCATCCATAACCCTGAGCTAGACATACCCCACTCCGGATCCTTGTAAAAGTATATGTTTTAGGAAAAATCAATCATAGTATAAAAGGTAAATACGTCAAACCAGATCAAAGGATGAGTTATATAATCTGCAACTACTCAAATGCGCAGTTTTATAAATGTTTAAAAAAAACACAAAAACCCCATCTATTACTGTGAAATAGCAAATATGTAATCATGAAATGGTTCCACTTGCTCCAGTACTAATCTACCGTATGTAACAATTCTAAATCTTTACCTCTGTCATATTAACATCGCTGAGACTCGTACACTTTGCAATTAATTTTCTGTTGATGGATTATATTAAAAAAAAAGTTAAAATTAAAGATCCATCTGCTGCAGGAGATACTTTGCATTAATTACACGGCAGCTGTTTATGGAAACCGACCTGAAATTTTTTCCGTTCCACCCCCTCTACCCAAGGCGTATTTAACCAGTGATATGCCATTCCATGTCACACCTGAAAAGTGATTTTCCAGAATGAACACATTATCATCTGAACTGTTTTTTTTTTCTGGGTACATGTGTCGGATATGTTATCATTAGTGATGACACATGGGCCTTGATTTAATATTGTTGAATAACAATAACAAATAATTTAATATTTTTGGTTAAACTGTTAAAATGATTAAATATTTTTATATATTGATATTTTATATATATGGTATATGGTATATTTTCTAAAAATTTACATTTTGTAAAAATAATTTTAAAAGTTTTCCAAAAATATTACATTCTTTGAAAAGCTTATCCAAAAATATTATATTGGGTAATTATTGTGAGAGGCTGATCCAGGGGTCTTGGTAAATATTAATACCAAAGAAAAAGTGAGTGAGAACTGGAAGAAATTAGAATGCCAAGAGATACCACCTATGACACCTAATAAGACAGCCGCATGAGATCAGGGAGGTCAATGTGTGGATGAAATCTTGATGTAGAGAAGGATTTAGGTATTAAGAACACAAAAGAGATTGCATACTTGGGTACTTTCCCACCCGGAAACCCAGAGACGTAACTAGAAACCACGGGACTCCGGTGCCACGTCTACCCTCCCCCTCGTTCCCCCCACAAACATACATACATACAGACAGACTTACACACACACACATACATATAAACGAACATACATACATACAGACGAATAGACAGACATACATATAGACACACATACATACAGAAACACATTTATACAAACACATACATACATACACACACAGGAACACATACATACCGACACACAGAGACATACACACATACATACTGACACATACATACAAACACACACACATACATACAAACAAACACATACACAGACACATACAAACAGACACACCTACAAAATGTTTTAGTCACCCTCCTGTTTCCAACCTTTTAGTTGCAGGAGGGTGACTTTCCCTGGGCTCCAGTGGCTCGGCCAGATGGGAGTCAGAGTACCCACTCTGACTCCTTCCTCCCGCGCGTCTCTCTGTGATTGCTGGGATGAAGTGACCAGGACTGTCACTTTCTCCCAGCACTGATGTCATGTCCGGTTGCACTGCTAAGCCCCGCAGTGCTGACCGGGCACCCTGGGAATACATTGCCATCGGGTGGCCCTAACAGCATGAGCCACCCGATGGGCCACTTCAATGTGGCCCTGGCGGTAATACCGCGCGGGCCGGGGCCGTTGTACTTAACCAGCGGACACCGCTGTCGCAGGGGTCCACAGGGCAGCCAGGCCCCCTGGAGTGACGGGCCCGGTCACAGCTGCAACCCGTGCAACCGCGGTAGTTCCGCCACTGCTGAAGCTGTTCTTGTGTGTCAATTGTTTGTGGCAGGGAAGTTCCAATGCGATCATCATATTTGTGTATACAAAGGTGTCTGTTACTGGTTTTAACATTTTCAAATATATCATATATATAAAAAGAATATATATACAATATTATAATAAAAAATTTAATATTTTTTTATAATATTAAATCATTTAAAAAGCGTATCCAACATGCATACTATTTCATTGAGGCTAAAATAGCCTATTTGATCAGCCACAATATAAAACAACTTGCCTAATAACGCTTAGGTCCCCATTGTGCTGTCAAAACAGCTCCAATGCATCCAGGCATGGACACCACAAGACTTTGAATGTGTCCTGTTGTATCTAACACCAAGATAATAGCAACAGGTCCTTTACCTTCTGCAAGTTGCATGGTGGGGCCTCCATGGATCAGATTTGTTGTTACAGCACGTCCCATGGATTAATATATGGGGAATTTAGAAGCTAAGACAACACTTTGAACTCTCTGTCATATTCCTCAAATCATTGCTGAACAATTTCTGCAGTGTGGCAAGGTACATTATCCTGCTGAAAGAAGCGACTACCATCAGGAAACACCAATGCCATGAGGGAGTTTACATGGTCTGCAACAATCTCTAAATAGGTGGAACCTGTCCAAGTAATACTGCCTCCGCTGGCCTGTCTTCTTCTCATAGTACATCCAGCTGTCATGTCTTTTAAAGGTAAATGATTCACTGGCACCCAGCCATCAATCTGATCTAAAAGAAAACGTGATTAATCAGACCAGGCCACTTTCTTCCATTGCTCCATGGTCTAGTTCTGGTGCTTATTTCCACTGAAGGCGCTTTCGGTGGTGGACAGGAGTAATCACGGGCTTTCTGATTGGTCTGCAGCTACACAGCGAATTGTGAAATTGTGATGCACTGTGTGTTCTGACACCTTTCTATCGTGGCCATCATTACGTTGTTTCAGCAATTTGAGCTACAGTAGCTCTTCTGTGTGAACAGATGAGACGGGCTAGCCTATGCTCCCTGCATTTAACAATGTGACTTGGGCAACCATGACTCTGACATCTTTTCACAGATTGTCCTTCTTTGTACAACTTTTGGGAGGTACTAACCACTGCATACGGGGAACACCCCACAAGGCTGAATAAAGAGTGAATAAATGTCAAATGACTATTTTTTGCATTTTTATGTTGGGGATAAATATTCAAATCACAGTAGATGATAAACAGTTATATGAAAATTAAAAGCCCGCTTTGCAACATATGCCATTCCAGACATCATGTTCACAGTTAGGGTTTTCTTCTAAAAAGTTGTTAAATTTCAGAGAATGCTGAAAATTTAAACATCACCCTTCATCTCCCGGTTAGCCACAGAGGAACAGGAAATCAGAGTCTGCAGTAACTGCAAAGCAACGCATGTGAAAGGAAAAAGAAATAGGAAGAAATACAAAACCAGCATCACTGAACCTTATAGAGTAAACTAGGGCCAGAGATCAGAGGCTTGTGAGCAGACAAGCAAAGTCCATTGAGTGGATATATAATAAAAACCCATATTTAAAGGACCGCTAAAGGCACCTCATCTCAATGAAGTGGTCTGGGTGCCGTTTTACTGAAACTGCAATGTTTCCATTGCAGGATTAACATTTTCCAGACTGCCACTAGATGCTCCACCACAGTAAGGACCGAATAAAACTCATGGACTCTGTGATGTTCGCATCATTAAATATTTACCATAGAGAAGCATTGGACTTAATACTTCCCTATGTATGAGAAATATTTGACTGGACAAGCATGGTGCTTACCATGCCCCTTGCCCGCAATGCTTTTCTTTGAGAAGCATTGAATTGGACAAGAATTCATAAAGTGATGCCTCAAGGGTGGAGTCGCAGAAAGAGAGGTGGGTGGCAGTCTCAGTGCTGGAAAAAAGGTAAGTACAAACTTATCTTTACTATATTTTAATTTTATTGGGGGGGAGGGAGACTGCATCTAACTAATGAGGAGAATGTTAGAGCATTTGGAATACATGTTTATACAATACTGTGCAAAAGTCTTAGGCCACCATTAGATTTGTAGTTGACCCTTCTACAACCCAAATAAGTTTGATCAGGCATGGTCTTTACGGAAAGACCACTTTTTCACCACATTTTACACCATCAAGCTTCTACACATAGGCGTGCGCACGGGGTGTGCCGGGTGTGCCCGGGCACACCCTAATCCCCGCGCACGCCTTTGCATATTGAGACCGGCAGGGGAGATCTCAGGATCTCCCCTGTCGGCTCATGCAGAGCCGGCGCTATCCGAGCGCCGGCTCTGCTCTCAGCCTCCCTCCCCACTGACCCACATGCAGGGAGGGAGGCAGGAGAGGACCGGCGGAGCTATTGCCGGCAGCTCCGCCGGGTTCCTCTCGCGAGATATGAGCGTTGCCACGGCAACGCTCAAATCTCGCGAGAGTGAACTCTAGCCCCACAGGGGCTAGAGTTCACTCTCCACTGGACCACCAGGGAAAGCAGCAGCACTATCCCCCCTCCCTACAAAAGGTAAGAAGGGAGGGGGGATAGCAAGTAATCCACCTCCACCCCCACAATCACACACACCACACATACAGCACACACACCCACACATACAGCACACATACAGCACCCACACACATACAGCACCCACAGACATACAGCACCCACAGACATACACAGCACCCACAGACATACACAGCACCCACAGACATACAGCACCCACAGACATACAGCACCCACAGACATCAGCACCCACAGACATACAGCACCCACAGACATACACAGCACCCACAGACATCAGCACCCACAGACATCCAGCACCCACAGACATACACAGCACCCACAGACATACAGCACCCACAGACATTCAGCACCCACACACATTCAGCACCCACAAACATACACAGCACCCACAGACATACACAGCACGCACCCATACACAGCACCCACAGACACACACAGAACCCACACACATACAGCACCCACAGCACCCACAGACCCATACATTCAGCACCCACAGACATACACACCCACACACACACAGCACCCATACACAGCACCCACACACATACAGCACCCACAGACATACACAGCACCCCAGACATACAGCACCCACAGACATACACAGCACCCACCATACACAGCACCCACAGACATACAGCACCCACACATAAGACATAAACATAAACAGCACCACAGACATACAGCACCCACACATAAGACATAAACATAAACAGCACCCACAGACATAAACAGCACCCACACACATACAGCACCCACAGACATACACAGCACCCACACACTTTCAGCACCCACAGACATACAGCACCCACAGACATACACAGCACCCACAGACATACACAGCACCAACACACATACAGCATCCACACACACATACAGCACCCTCAAAAACACACACTGCACCCTCACACACAGCACACAAACAGCACCCTCACACACACACAGCACACTAACAGTACCCTCACAAACACAAACAGGACATTAACAAACACACACACAGCACACTACCAGTACCCTCACACGCAAACTGCACCCTCACAAGCGCACACACACACAAACAGCACCCTCACACACAGTACATTAACAGCATCCTCACAAGCACGCACACACAAACACCCTCACCCACATAGCACACTACCAGCACCGTCACACACATATCACACTAACAGCACCCTCACACACACACACAGCAATGTGTGTATGTGTGTATATATGTGTATGTATATATATATATATATATATATATACATACATACATACATATATATATGCGGCGTGTGCTTGTGCTTTAGGGTGCACACTCTAATGCAATAGGCTGCGCACGCCTATGCTTCTACGGACCATAGAATGGTCAACTTAGCATCCCGATGAAGCTGCCAGATGCTGAGCCAGATCCTTGCTGGACTTCTTCCGGTCTCTCAAGGAAGAAATACAAAGACACTTCTCATCAGTTTTTGAATGTTTTCTTGGCCTTCCAGTCCTTTTTTTGTCCATGACCTCTCTTGATTCTTCAAATTTCTTGAAAACAGCTTGAATACCACATCTTGAGTATCCAGTTCGTTTGCCGATTTCCCTTTGAGAGTGGCCTTGCATACATACTGCATACAAAGTTCCTGTATTTACTGGTTGTATTCTAATAAGGAGATTGAGTAATAATTATATACATAACGCTATAGTGTTCCTTTAACAAACAACGTTGATCTTTTGACCAACATTCAAGTAGGTGAGCACTTGGGAAATAGTGATCACAATATAGTGTCCTTTGAAATAAACTCAAAAAAACAAAAGCACATGGGGTATACTAAAACATATAATTTTTAAAAGGCCAATTTCAACAAATTACAATATATTGACTGGCATAAACTCTTTAGTGAAAAGAACACTGAGGATAAATGGATCATCTTCCAACAAATATTAGAAAGGTACATTTCTCAGTATAGTAGAGAAGTAAAACAAGAGATTAAAAATAAGAAAAGGGCATTAAAAGCTTTTAAATCGGACAAATCAGATGCATCTCATAAAAGATATAAGGAAGCAAATAATGCGTGCATAAAGGCAATTAGATTTGCTAAAGTTCAAAATGAAAAAATGATAGCTAAAAAGAGCAAAACCAACCCCAAAGCATTTTTTAAGTACATAAATTCTAAAAAACCCAAAAATTAAAGTGTAGGTACACTAAAAACTCAAATGGGGGTGTTAGTTAATGAAGACCAGGAAAAAGCAGGAATTTTAAATATCTATTTCTCCTACATATATATTAAGGAAGAACCCATGGCCATAGATGTGCAAATGATTGCTACTAAAAACTTGCAGAATAATTGTAATTGGCTAACTCAAGACAAGGTGCTGCAGCAACTAAAGAAAGTTAATAAAAAACAAAGCTACAGGGCCTGACGGTATCCATCCACGAGTACTTAAGGAACTAAGTGTAGAAATAAGTGAACATCTGTTTTTAATCTTTCAAGATTCTTTTCTTTCAGGAAGTGTTCTGGAGGATTGGAGGAAGGCAGATGTGGTTCCTATATTCAAAAAGGGTTCAAAATCATTGCCTGGAAATTATAGACCTGTGAGCTTAACTTCTGTGGCTGGGAAAATATTTGAAAGGTTATTAAGGGATAATATTCAAGAATTCCTTGAGAAGAACATGGTTATCAGCAAAAATCAGTACGGTTTTATGAAGCACAGGTCATATCAAACTAACTTGATTGCGTTCTACAAAGAAGTAAGTAGAAGTATAGATCAGCGTGTTGGAGTGGATGTGATCTATTTGGATTTTGCCAAGGCATTAGATACAGTTCCACACAATAGATTAGTGTTCAAACTCAAGGAAATCGGTCTAGATGAAAATGCTTGTTCTTGGGTAGAACATTGTCTTAAAAACAGAGTACAAAGAGTTGTCATTAATGGTAAATTTTCAAGCTGGACAGAGGTGGCAAGTGGTGTCCCTCAGGGGTCTTTTCTGGGACCCCTTCTATTTAACATGTTTATAAATGATCTTGAAGACAGCATTGAAAGTCATGTTTCAGTGTTTGTAGATGACACAAAACTTTGTAAAATATTACAATGTGAGCAAGATATTACTTTGCTGCAGAGGGATTTAGATAGACTGGGGGACTGGGCACTCAAATGGCAGATGAAATATAATGTTGAAAAATGCAAAGTTATGCACTTAAAGAATACGACAGAAAGAATACACAAGCAACGTATACCCTTAATGGAAGCGAATTAGGGATAACAACACATTAAAAGGACTTGGGAATTGTTATAGACAACAAACTATGCAACAATGTGCAATGTCAATCCGCAGTGGCCAAGGCCAGTAAGGTATTGTCATGCATGAAAAAGGGCATTTATTCTCGGGATGAGAATATCATTTTGCCTCTTTATAAATCACTGGTAAGACCACATATTGAATATGCTGTGCAATTTTAGTCACCTGTTCTAAAGAAGGCGGGCTACAAAATTAATAAAAGGAATGGAACATATCAGCTATGAAGAAAGGTTAACAAATTTTAACCTATTTAGTTTAGAAAAACATCGCCTGAGAGGGGATATGATAACATTATACAAATATATTCGGGGCCAATACAAACCATTGTGTGAAAATCTATTCACAAACCGGACTTTACATAGGACACGAGGCCATGCGTTTAGACTGGAAGAAAGAAGATTTCGTCTAAGGCAAAGGAAAGGTTTTTTTACTGTAAGAACAATAAGGATGTGGAATTATTTGCCTGAAGAAGTGGTTTTATCAGAGTCCATACAGATGTGCAAACAGCTACTAGATGCATACTTGCAAAAACAGAATATTCAAGGACATAATTTTTCAATGTAGGGTAATAACTGCTTGATCCAAGGATAAATCTGACTGCCATTCTGGGGTCAAGAAGGAATTTGTTTCCTAGCTTGTTGCAAAATTGTGCTTCAAACTGTTTTTTTTGCCTTCTTTTGGATCAACAGCAAAAAACAAATGTGAGGAAGGCTGAACTTGATGGACTCAAGTCTCTTTTCAGCTATGTAACTATGTAACTATGTAACAAAAAAAATCAAGATATCATCCCAGGCAGGAAGTGGTTAAATTTACTCCATCTAATGGCTAGACCAAATCTGTCCTCCTTTTCATGCAGGCAAACTGGCATGTTTACCCCTGGCATGTCTACTCCTGGCATGCTGCTGGGATCTGTGGCAGCTCTGCCAAGCAGTGTGTGAATTTAGTAAATACAAACATGATGCCAGATGAAGGATTTTCTCTACTGGAGGATGAGATATATTTCACTCTGTGTTCCCTGGTGCATATATAAAGCCAGATAGACACAAGGTGCAATCATGGTGTGTATGGCCAATCCACAGAGCAGGAAACCATCTGCCTGGTTATTTCTGCATAGTTTTCCCAATACCTGGGGTTTGCAAAGTAGCACTGGTACAAAAAAAAGCACGTGAATATGTAAATGAATGTGGATGTTTTCAAAGTCAATGATTCTGCTTCACAAAGTGCAGTTTGTATTTTTAGACCTAACTGAAAACACCTGTTATGGAAAAGGAATAGTGAAACCATGCAAAATCTGCCAAGAATAAACAGACAACTGTTACAGAGCAGCAGTGCTTAATTCCATTACCAAGAGACAGTTCAAGATGAAATTGCTGATAAAATGTTAATTAGACAAATAGTAAAACATAAAATGACTGTCTGAATTGGAGATAAAGATTCAAAAAATATTTCAGAAGGGTCTTACTCTGTACGGGATCAAAACCCATCTGTTCTTCTTTTCAACCCTAACATCCTTCTTTTCCAGAAATTGAGACTGCTTGTACGTATCGCAGAGCTCCACAGCAATATAACTCAAAGTAATATGTGGTTTGAATGAGATAATCAAAGAACTGCACACCAATAAAACTCACAGTACTGACAGTTTGTTTGAGCTGATCACGCAGTTCCGCAGCAGCTTCACAGCAATAAAACCCACTTTGTATATTGTGTGTGACTGAATCACAGGATGTAGTAACAATAAAACGCATGGTACTGTGCAATGTGTATAAGTGTATTCTACAGTTCCACGGCAATACACTCACAGTAATGTACAGTGTGTATAAGTGTATCACAAAGTTCCACAGGAAGAACACTCATAGTAATGTGCAGTGTGTGAGTTTATCACAGACCTCCATAGCAATCATTTCAAGTGCCTTTGGTCATGAACTTTAAACGGTGATCTGGTGACCATTTTATAATTTACTCACTTGTATTCTAAATTAATGCTGGGCAAATCCTGGCAGAATTAGTTAAATGAACACTTCAGACACCATAACAACTTAATCTCAGTGAAGACAGATTGCCACTCTGCCACCTCAGCTGGTAACAGGAAGTCTTTTACTGGGTGAAAGCATCAGCTTACCCTCTCAGCCTATCACTGACCCCTCATTGAGAAAAATACTTGAGAAAAACTGATATTTCCAGCCATACAGAGACAGCCCTATATACACAAACAAAAAGGTATTTATTAAGAATTTTAAAAAGAAAGGTTGCACAATCATGGTCTTTGCACCAAAACCATTTTAGTAAGATGAAATGGCCACAGTGGTTAGAGTAATTCTTTAAAGGGACACCATAATCACCAGAACCACTGCAGCTTAATGTAGTTGTTCTGGTGCCTGTAGCATGCCCCTGCGGGCTCTGCAATGAAAATGCAGCCTTTTCAGAGAAAAGACAGAATTTACATTCAGTGGCGTACACAAGATCCATGGGGCCCCGGTGTGAAAATTGATCCGTGGGCCCCCACGCACTTAGTCTGCGCGGGCCGGTGCCGCTACTCATGGCGGCGGGCACCTGGTTGCAGGGCTGCGACCCTTGTGACCATGGTGTGCCACCAGTGCATGCAGATACACTTAAAGGACCACTATAGGCACTCAGATCAATTCAGCTCAATGAAGTGGTCTGGGTGCCAGGTCCCTCTAGTTTTAACCCTGCAGCTGAAAACATAGCAGTTTCAGAGAAACTGTTATGTTTCACTGAGGGTTAATCCAGCCTCTAGTAGCTGTCTCACTGACAGCCGCTATAGGCGCTTCCGCTGGAAGTCCATAGGAAAGCATTGAGTAATGCTTTCCTATGGGCGGTTTGAATGCGTGCATGCGCATTCGGAGCTGAGAGGCGGATCGGGGCGGAGAGATCCCCAGTGCCAAGGGAGCCCGGCGCTGGAAAAAGGTAAGTGCTGAAGGGGTTTTAACTACACACACACACTCTCACGAACAGACGCATACACACTAGCTAACAGACACACACATTTACTGACAGACACACACTCAGTGATAGACACACATACACACTCACTTACAAAACACACTCTCACTGACAAACACACACTCACTAACAGACATTCACTAACAGACACACACTAACAGACACACACAGTAACACACACACTCACTGACACACACTGACACTCACTAGCAGACACACACTCAATAACAGACACACAAACACACTCAGTGACACACACACAGTAACACTCTCTAACACACTTACTGACGCTCACTAGCAGACACACACAAACTAACACACACAGTAACACATTCTAAACACACACACACACACACACAGAGTAACACACACACATACACGCTCACATATTTTTTTTAATTTTATTTAATCCCCCAGCCTCCCTACCTTTGGCAGTGCTGTGGGGATTCCTGCTGTCCCTAGGGTCCAGTGGGGTCCTGCTGTCCCTTGGGTACAGTGGTGTCCTGCTGTCCCTGTGGTCCAGAGGGGTCCTGCTGTCCCTGGGGTCCTGCTGTCCCTGGGGTCCAGTGGGGTCCTGCTGGGCTGCCGGCCGGGCTGCTGGGCGCGCGCGAGGGAGCACTCTCCCCTGAGTGCTCTCTACCCAGCTCCCTCGCGCTGTTTAATGATGCCGGAGCCAGAATATGAAATCATATTCTGGCTCCAGCATCAGTAAGCAGCGCGAGGGAGCTAGGCAGAGAGCACTCAGGGGAGAGTGCTCCCTCCCTCGCGCGTGCGCCCAGCAGGCGCCGGCAAAATGTGGTCACACTGCCACTGGCGTGCATACCAGGTCGCAGGGCGGCCAGGCCCCCTGGTGGGCCGGGCCCAGTCGCAGCCGCGACCCCTGCGACCCTGGTATGTACGCCACTGTTTACATTGCTGTCTAGTAATACCTCTAATGACAGTCACTTAGACAACCACTAGAGATGCTTCCTATTTTAGTGTGGCAATGTGTGCAGCATTTATGTTCAGTGTCTCCACTTTCTGCATGAGATGCTGAACGCTCCCCACAAAGATGCATTGATTCAATGAGGAGATGCTGATTGGCGCAGTGCTGCATTTTGCCATGCATGCGCAATAGCCTATCAATGCTTTCTTTCGGGAAAGCATTGGATGAGCTGAGGTGGTCAAGATTGATGATCTTGGCCATGGAGGCGGGGCAAGCTGCGGCAAGACCAGCGCTATTGTGTTCCTTTAATGCTAAATTTGTAAAATGTTTTTTTTCAAAATGGTTAACCTAATGCCTAGTGTCTCTTTAAGAGAACCTAATACATCACCACTAAGCAAAGCAACACATTTCTATGTAAGCTTCAGGATGAGGATTTCACCTTTCTTTGGATCAATAGCAGACACAGGATGTGTGAAAAGTTAAGAAAAGCACTGAGCCTTTTTTTTCAAGCTATGCAAGAATGTAGCCATGTGACAATGTAAAGCTATGCACCGGCATATGATAAAATCACTTTCCCCAATGCAATCCATTGGGCCTTACATTCACTTGGACGAACTCATCTACATATATTGGTATGAGAACATGTCAGCATCCAGAGCTTCTTAGAAATACAAGGGGTAAATAGAAAGATGACAGCCGAAAGAGATTACCCATTATGACTAAAAATGCTATATTCTCTCTGAAGTATCCAGTCTTGTCAGATCCACCATGTTTTTTCTGGACACATATGAACTAAGGCAGTTCTTCTGGGATTCCATCTTGAGTAATGAATTCATTTCCTGCTTGTAACGTGTCAATTCTACATACTGGTGGGCAGCAGCTATATACTGCCCATTAGTATGAAGACATGATATGCGTGGATCTGGTAAATCTATTAGTGTCTCTTTTTTCCCTAAAGATCAAATAATGAACTGAAGGACTGTTTCCGAAGAGATGTTAATAAGATCATTGTTACCACTGAAGATGTCAGGTGTTGCAGAGAGAATGGGTTCTTTCTTCGATCTCTTTGTTATTTTCCATTGTGTTAAAATGCTGCAGAAAAGCCTTGAATAGTATTTCTCTCGTTTACTTTTACATTTTGGGCAAGATTCCAAAGCAATCATTATTTAATTGTAAAGTGACTATACTAAAATCTGAGAAATAAGTCAGTAGGGACACACACACACACACACACACACAAAAAACGCAGGACAGCTCTCCCCTCGCCTCTGTGAGGTGTAATGGTGGCATTCAGGTCAAACATTCTCCTTTCGTTGCTCCCCAGCGGGAAAGAAAGCAGCAATCAACTCATTAGTATGCAGAGTGCTCGCTTGTTGGTACAAATATAGAAGCAATTTCAAGAAACGCGGATAGGGGGCAGAAGGGTAACCCTTTCCTTGCTAGATGCTTTGGTGAAAACAGTAGGGGCCTACAGTATAATGCTGGGCACTAATATCAGGGAATCTGGTTTTAAACCCTGTTGATCGGCAAAGGTTTAGCTCTTTCTACCCAGCATCGGATGACTTCTTGATTGGAGAAAGAGTTAACCATTGTTGGTCGTGGGGGTTATGGAATTTGAGCAATGCATGGTTCACCAGTCTAGAATTTAAAGGGTTACTGGAAACATCTTAAACATAAGATGATTGTGTGTAATTTAAATTCTGCAATGCACGGAGTAAAGATGAATAGATCCATTATTATCAAATATATTTATATAAATAGAGAAGGAGGGAGAGAAAGAAATAGCACTTATTTTTACTTTTAGATTAAGGAAAAAAAGAGATAGAAAAGTGCACAAAACATAATCCTATCTATATATAGAATACTTTGTAAATAGTATTGTTTACAAAACACATCATAAACTGCAAAGCTTGGCCGTGGTTCTTATTTCAAGATATAATTCCAAAAAGCTTCTCAGGGTGAATGGACAGATTATCATTGTTTTAAGGTGAATGAGCAGATTCCTAGGACGAAAGGGCAGATTCACAGTGCTTATTAGCCAGATTCTCTGCATAAATGGGCAGATATTTAATATATATGAATATATATATGAATTAATATCCCAAAATAGCTGTAGTTGTAGCTAGGGATGTGCATGGGGAAAATATTCGGTTTGGTTTGGCATTCCGAAATTCGGGACTTAGGCACTTCGGTTCAGTTAGGGATTTCGGAACTTCGGAATTTTGGCACTTCGGGACTTTTCTTGCAGCCGCTTAGTAGATAACTCCCTAATTCCCACGGTATTAGGGAGTAATCTACCAAAAGGCTGAAAGAACCTAAATTGGTCTTTCAGCCAAATTTACCAATACTAAGTAAAAATTACTTAGTATTAGTCAATTGTGCTCCTACTCTCTATAACGTAGGGGCATGTCTATTAAACAGTGAGCAGCGTGTGGCTGCTCACTGTTAAATAACAAAAAAACATTTTTTTAAAAACTGTGTGTCCCCCCATGCCGCGCGAGTGGGGGCTTTTAAACTGAAGGGGGGACCTATAGCCCTGCCCCGACCCCCACCACTGAGCGGCGGGTGGGGGCCCTATATCAGAAAACCGGGCGGGGGACCCTTGAGTGGCGGGTGGCGGCCCTAAAGTAAAATAAGGGGGGGACCTATTGTCCTCCCCCCGGCCCCCACACCTGAGCAGTGGGTGGGGGCCCTAAATTACTTCAATGGGGGGCCCTACAGGCTGCTCACTGTTTACTAGACATGCCCCCTACTTGCGGTATAGCGAGTAGCGGCATAATTTACTAATACTAAGTAATCTTTACTTGGTATTAGTAAATATGGCTGAAAGACCAATTTAGGTCTTTCAGCCTTTTGGTAGATAGCTCCCTAATACCGTGGGAATTAGGGAGTTATCTACTTATTCATTCCTGTCATTCTATTGACTGGCTAAGTAACTTACATTTTATATGAATGTGTGTTACTTGATTGTTGTAAGTGTTGCAAATGCTTACAGCTAAATCCTGGCTACGTTTGTATACTTTTTATTTAAACTTGTATACAGTGTAACATTCTTCATTCTTCCACTGGGTAGGTATAGTAGTACTTCGGCAATACTGTGCTTCGGAACTTCGTCACTTCGACACTTCGGAACTTCAGCAACTTCGACACTTCAGAAATTCAGCAATTTCAGAACTTCGGCAATTTGGAACTTCGGCAATTCAGACATTCAGAAGTCTCTGAATGTCCGAATTACCGAAATTCCTCCGAATTAACATTCGGAGTGAAATGAATTGCACATGTCTAGTTGTAGCACACCTAGGCTAAATATGTAAGGTTGGGTGTCTCACCTGTGCAGGAGAGTATGACATGCCATCAGCATCTTAGTCACCCTCAAGATCTGGGCAACACATTGTAGGTATGTCCAGTGATAATCATATAAATGGCGATAATAATAATAATGTGTGTATACTGTGTACATGCTGTAATGATGCAAGTATGTATTATGTGTGTACATGGATGTATCTCTGAAAACTGTTTATGTAAAATTCCCTCAGAAGAGAGCTTTCAGGATGTCTTAATATCCAATTACATATATTCCTGTTAAATAGAGTAATTCTGACACAGCATGTGAATCCAGAAAAGGCTGATAAATAGTATATTTGAATAGGCACAGTATATTTGTTAAGGAAATATAATTGTCCTTCGGTGCTATCAATATGCATATTAATACAGAACTAACAGGTGCCCTAGGTATGTAGCCCATTTATATATACTTGATTCATATAGCAGTAATAGGTGTACTGAGCACTTTAGAGGCAATGTTAAAGTATAGAGAGCTACAGTAAGTGTAGTAGTTATACAGTGTATGTATATTTTATTTGTATTGAGCTAACAGGTGTACTGGGTACTTTACAGTAGGTATATACTGTATACATTTTTAATTTATATAGTCATAACAGGTATACTTAATGCTATACAGGTTATGTTACTGTAGCGGGAGGTACAGTAAGTATACCGTGTATGTATATTTCATTTGCATGGCACTAACTAAGGTGTACTTTGCACTTTATACATTACATTCCAATAGAGCGAGGTACAGTAAGTGTAGCAGATATACACTATATGGATAGTTTACTTATATATCACTTTATATATCACATTATTGAGAAGTATAGAAAGTGAAGTAGGTGTACAGTGTACCTATAGTTTGTTTATGTAGCACTAACAGGTGTTTATTTTATTTATAAGACGCCATTGAATGAGAAGATTGTGCGCACTATTGCCAGTCACTTTTAATAAAGATTTCTTGAGCAAACACGCTACTTACCAATGCACATGACCTGTTAACTCAAAGTATGCTGTTGGTTTTGGAAGACTAGCATTTACTTTGAGATGTCATTGATTTCCTGGTGGAACAGGGTGTCAATTGAGAATAGCACGGACCCAAAGATTACACTATAGCACATTACACTATTTCTACATATAATGCATTACAAAGCGTGGAAAAGCTAGTTCGGTGTGTCCCTTTAAGGAACTGGCATAGCAAGCTAAATAGGTAGCATGAGCAAACTAATTGTAATCTCACCTTCTGTCACATAAACATTGTCAAAATGATGTGAGAATCTAATCCTCATGCAGTGTTGCCACCTGGGAAAACATGTCTTTCACACTACCTTGTGGATTATATGTTTAAAAAGCTGCCCCGCGTTCCTGCTAAATGAAGAATTTAGTTATATTTTTACATTTTGAAGAAGATGTGATGCCTTGATTGCCCATATAGAAAATCTCCTCTTAGAGCAAGCATGTCATTTGGGTATCTTTGCAGCCCGGGGCCGGACTGGCCTAACCGGATACCGTGAAATTTCCCGGTAGGCCACCTGCCCTGCTCCATCATATGGAGTTAATTTCAGTGGCGGTGCTACAGTGCGCAGAGAGGCTGGCTGCATGCAGAGCAGGTCAGCCACTCCCCCTTCCCTGCTGCTCGCAGTGCCAGAGGAGCATGTGGTCTGCTTGAGAAGAGAAGATCATGCAGGGCTGGACAGAAAGATGGCTTAAGATAGGGGAAAAGGTGCTTGGGGGAACCTTCCTGTAGTGTTTTCAATTTGGGGGGCAGTGTATTAAATTGGGGGGAGGGAGGTGGAGCAGTGCATTAGAGTGAGGTCGTAGTTTATTAAATTAGGTGGCTAAGGAGGTGGGAGGGGGCAGTGTGTTAACTTAAGAGGAGGGCAGTGTATTAAATTGGGGTAGAGGGCAGTGTATTAGAGTGGTGAGAGGGAGGAGGCAGTGTATTAGAGTGGATGGAGGGGCAGTGTATTAGAGTGGAGGGGGCAGTGTATTCAATTAGGGGAAGGGAGGGGAGGCAGTGTATTAAATTAAAGTGGCAGGAATGGGGGCAGTGTATTACCTTATAGTGGAGGGAGACATGGCAGTGTATAAGATTGGGGGGCAGATTATTAGAGTAGAGGAGCGGGGTTGCAGGAGGCTGTGTATTAGATTAGTGGGGAATAGTAAGTAACTTGAAGTGAAACATTTGAGCAAATTATATATATATGTACCCAAGTAATTTTAGTTTGTGTTGGTCTAGGTTAAACTATTTTTGCGGCCCACATAGACTTAAACTTTGTTTATTTGGGCCTTTGAGTTTGACATGCTTGTCTTAGAATGACACTGACATTTCCTTTTGACTGTTGTGCCTTAAATAAAAGCAGAAGTTGAAACCCAGTTGCTTACTAAGGAGCGTAAAACCAGTCGGATTTTTGTTTTGCAGATTCTGTATACATGACTTTACACTTACTCCCTACTGACAGCACCAGAATGCCCCGCGGCAACAGTGCAGAACGCTGGTATGAGGGTTGCTGAGATTAAAAGGTATCAGTGTTAAATGCTGACTGTGAGGTTCCGGGTCAAAGTTTACTCAATGATGACGTATAGGGGGCGGACCAGAAATCGGATATGTTCGCCCAACGCGAACACGCTATTGTTCGCCGGCGGACAGTTCGCGAACAGTTCGGCGGACAGTTCGCGACATCTCTACACATCATTTGTATATTTCCTTTGAATCATGCAGTATATGTTGATATATAAATCACACTTCTTTGGAGTTACAAGTCACATTTATAAAAAATTTACATATTCTGGGCTTTCCAAACACATCAAACCACAGCCTAACAACTTCATGCATACGTTACGCCACTTATCAAACATATCCCAACAAATGCAATACCAAATTGTGGTTAATTTTGTCTGTATGTATTTAAGTCTCGCAGAGGGAGAAAAAAAATACCAGTGCTATTAAAATAGCAGGCACTTATTGTGATTGATTACAAGCAAAGATTTCTAGACTGCAATGCTGCAGTAAAAGACATAGGGGGGAAAATAACTCTCTTGCCAACAAAATTGCATAGTTACATAAACCTGACGACATCTTACTTAGCAACATAAATTTGAGCCACAATAAAAATCAAAGTGATTAAATCATCAGTTCTCGCAGGGTTATGCGGGTGCTAGCTGAACTTCTGCTACGAGAGCAGTGGTAGCCAAATCGTAGAACCCCAGCTGTTGAAGAACTAGGCTGTTGCTGGACTACAATTCACATAATGCTTTCCCAGCCTGAGAGCATTACGTAGTATGTTGTTTTATAATAGCTGTGAGGTCAAACATTTCGGCTACTCCAGTACTAGAGACCCACTAGATTTTTCCAAGCAGGGATATTGGCATTATAGATAGCCACTTACCGTGGTCATGGGAAAAGACGAGGAATTTCAAACCAGTCAGTAACTGTGCTAAATCATCGTAGCGGCAGCAGTGCTCCCCGGCTCCATGTACAATAAATACCAATGCTCTGAAATTAAGAAAGACACACACATCTGTAAGATAGGTTAGAACCAGCATGTCTGTCAAGTCATTGTGCAATGCATAAAGCTTTACTTAGTGTAGTGATGGATAGATTTCCAGCTGTGTAGAGCACAAAAAACACAGGCAGGTTTATTAACAAAAAAAATTATACGCTTCCACTTTTAGCAATTTCTTCCTCTGTTTGCAGCAGTCCCAAAAAGACACACCTCTTTCCTACATCCAAAAGCAACCCCAAAATACAGCACATGGGGGGCACAGGTATGGGAAGTATAGAGTGACAGGAGCCAGGGAAGTTTCCTTCTTGAGATGTGATTTGTGGATTAGAGAAAATAATGCTCAAAGTGTAAAACTGCATAAACAGAAATACTTACACATGCTAAAATACCCTCACATTTAAAAGTTAAAGGACCACTATAGTGCCAGGAAAACATACTCGTTTTCCTGGCACTATAGAGCCCTGAGGGTGCCCCCACCCTCAGGGTCCCCCTCCCGCCCGGGGCTGGAAAGGGGAAAGGGGTTAAAACTTACCTTTTTCCAGCGCCGGGCGGGGAGCTCTCCTCCTCCGATCCTCCTCTTCTCCTCCCCGTCGGCTGAATGCGCACGTGCGGCAAGAGCTGCTCGCGCATTCAGCTGGTCACATAGGAAAGCATTCATAATGCTTTTGGACGCTGGCGTGCTCTCACTGTGAAAATCACAGTGAGAAGCACGCAAGCGCCTCTAGCGGCTGTCAATGAGACAGCCGCTAGAGGAAATAGGGGAAGGCTTAACCCATTCATAAACATAGCAGTTTCTCTGAAACTGCTATGTTTATGAAAAAATGGGTTAACCCTAGCTGGACCAGGCACCCAGACCACCTCATGAGGTGGTCTGGGTGCCAGGTCCAAATAGGATTAACCTTTTTTTTAATAAACATAGCAGTTTCAGGAAGAAGGAGAGGAGGAGGAAAGCTCCACGCCTGGCGCTGGAGAAAGGTAAGTGTTTAACCCCTTCTCTCCCCAGAGCCCGGCGGGAGTGGGACCCTGAGGGTGGGGGCCCCCCTTTAGGGCACTATAGTGGTCTTTTAATATTATTTTCATAATCAATAAATTAAAAACAAACAAAAAACCCCACAAAATACAGGAAGTTCACCAGCTGTTCTTCTTGCAAGATGCTTGATATAAAAGCTGTCTTTTTCATCTGGCGTCCTCTGTCACAACCTCAACAAGTTTCATCCTATTCAGTGACTTTCTCACGATGTAAGCAGAGATAAACCAGGCACCCTGTACAGTATATATATTCCTAGTTAAATTTAAAAAATGAAAACACAGACCTTTTCTTAGCTCCATCCCTAAATTAGGATACCATATAATTCTAAAACCTAAGAAGGCCCTGTACTACCCTGGAACACACAGTAAAGCTGCTAGTTATTGTAATTATATATATAAAAAAAGACACACAATATGGCCATGCATGCAAACGTGAAGCACACGTACCAACATCCCAGTACAGTTGCCGTTCTGTGCATGGTACTGTAGTGTACATTTCAGGGTGGAATGCAAGTCCAGCTCTAGGTGTCAACCAATAGAATTATGTGGTATGGTAATTTACGAGTGGAGTTAAGAAAAAGCCAGTGTTTTCTAATGTAATTAGCAAGATATAGGTAAACTATAAAGTGTTCCTTGTTAGATTATCCCCCTTCCTGAGGAAGTCACTGATTGTGATGTTGAGTTTGTGGCAGAAGACACCAAATGAAAAAGAGAGCTGCCATATCAAGCACTCTGCGAACGGAGCAGTTAAAGGACTGGTGAACTGTCTATTTTTATATTACGAAAGATATATTTTCATTAAATGTGTGAGTGTCTTTTTTAATTTATGGAGTAAAGTATTTTGGTTTATACAAATGAGCATTTTTTTTCTTTTGATAGAGCTTATTTAGTTCAACCAACAGCATCACAAGAAGAAGGCTTTCCTGGTCCTGCTACTCTATACTTCACATACCTGCACCTCCCTGGTGGTGAATTTTGAGTTTTATTAACAAAACTTTGAACTGTAGCAAATTAAAATAGGAATGGAAATAATTAATTGAAAATAATCAGGGTGATTTGCAAACTTTCCAAAACAGAAATATTTGCCTAAATATCACTATTTGAATTTCGATAATCTAATTGATACAAGGCAAAGCCAAGACAAACGCTGCTAATCAAGAGGATCAGTAGAAATGTGTTAATTTTTCCTCTTCTCTGCATACGTTCTGTATTCATGGGTGCAGCAGGCAGAAAAACATGTCAAATACCCGAATGGTGTAGTGGGTAGGCAGAAATGGGTGAGAAATGCGCTGGTAGTATATGGGAGCAGGGGAGTAGGGGTGTTAGGAATGCTACTTTACACTCCTGGCAACAAGAAAGGGGTCAATTGGTAATTAAACACTGTGCCTCATACTTAGGAAGCCACAGAATGTCCCCTGGATGACTTCTGTTATGGCATCTCAGTTTGGACACCACCCTCATTCACAGAACAGGAGAATTTACTATAATTCAGCAGTTTTAGCAAAATTACAGTGTTTCATATTGCTACAAGAAACAGATGGCTGTTTAATGTATGAAGATGAAAACACCCAGCAATTTGGAATATTTTTCAATGGTGGGGGCCTTGTCCAGACCTCTTCCCACACATCCAATTTTATGCCCTTTAGGTGCATGGACACAAAGGGGCTTTTATAATGGGTAGAAGTTCAGAGTTTAACCCCCTCATTTCTCAAAGTATAATTTGCATTGCATCAGTGTGCAGCGAAAGACTCCAAGGAAAAATAAATGGAGTTACCTTACATCATGTTTATCATCATTTACAATGGAAACCTATGCAGGAGTATGCAGCTGTCTGTATTTGGGAAATAATAAAGTATAGCAGTGGTTCCCAAACCAGTCCTCATGACCCACCAACAATCCAGGATTTATGTATTTCCCTGTTTTATTCCACTGGAGATACTGACAATACTTGGACTGTTGGTGGGTCTTGAGGACTGGTTTGGGAAACACTGAGGTATAGAATGAAATAGTTTGCGGAAATAAAAGTGGTGGGGTTCAAACATTAAGTGGAACAAATAACAATTACATTCTATATAAGATAGGGAAACAGTCTGCCTACCATTTTAATAACAGGCCAGGCCATAGGTATTTGAATGATGAAACAGAATTTTCTATTTTAACTATTTTTTTTCCAGCAAATCAAATCTAAAAATAAACATTAACTAAATTGCAGACTTTAATTTTTTAATTTGTGTCATTTTTTAATTTGTAGATTTTTTACCTATGCAGGATTACAGCACTTGGTATAGATTGTTACTTTATTTTAAGGGAGCAAAAGTATTTAGACTACGTTTAAAGTAACAATCAACAAGTTATGATATTTAACAACTGCCTGTAAATCTATTGCATTTGATGACTTGTTAAAGTCTGCGAACCATAAAGATCATCAGACACTATATGCTTCGTTGATGATGATGGGCTGTCAGGCTTAAGCAGTAGCCATAAAGTGTTTCTGGGTTTTTGAAATCATTTTGGGTGAAACATCATTTGGATTCAGGTCAGATGATTAATGCGGACAAAGGTGAACATTCCACTTCCACCCCGAAAATCTGCTTGGATGCATTAATAGAATGTTCTTGTTCGGATTCATAGACCTGGGGTAAATAAATATCTTCCAATGTCCAATTTTCCTTTCATATTCCCAAGAGTGTTTACTCCATAACACTGCCATTTGTTGCTGTTATTGTCCTTAGTAAACTGTGACCTGGCATTCTGTTCTTGGAGAATACCAATAATTTGCACCGCAAACTCACCTTAATAAGCTTAATATGTTATATAATTAATTCTGCTGCTTTGTACTAGAATGTAAATACTTTACCCACCACTGTGACATGTTAAAAGAGCTAAACTGGTTGTCGCTGGAATTCTGACGCACTCTTCATCTTTCCAGCCTTGTGCATAAGAGCATTTCTGGGAAGCTCCCATCCTACTTGAGTAGAATGCTCTCCCCAGCTGTTGCCCCCTTATGTAACCTCTGATCCAGTACTAGAACAATATTTAGCATACTGCAATACAAAAATAAATTGGCTCAATCCTCCTTTTCCTATGGAATAACCTCAGGGACACAGTCAAATCTTCATTTAATCTAAAATCTTTTAAGAGATCTATGGCAATATACGTCAGCACAGAATGTACCTGTCATGGTTGAATATATTTATTATTACCTGTTATGTATTAAATTTATACGTGTGTGTATGTATATATATATATATATATATAGTATTTTTTTTAATATTGCATCCTATTGTAACAATGCATGATTTGTGGACCCAGGAAATACTTGAAAATGAGAGAAATCTCAATGTATCCATCCAGGTAAAATATTTCATAAATAAATACATTTGCATCTTATGGTGAACTTTCTGTGATTATATTTTGTATAAGCCTCTATTTATGGTTCTCAGACATTTCCATTCCCACATCCTGAAAAGTGTCCTAATCTGTTTGATGTTTCAAAGTAAACATGCCTTGATCATCCACTAGAAAGGCCTAATGCGGTCTATTAACCCTTTAAGGACCAAACTTCTGGAATAAAAGGGAATCATGACATGTCACACATGTCATGTGTCCTTAAGGGGTTAAGTTGTTTCCTTCCCAGAGCTCCATGCAGAGAGCACGGGTAGATTTCAGTTAATATTTTGTCTATGTTCTTGGTTTATTCAGTTAATTCAGCTTCACGAATGTCTGCATTACAAACATTAACACTTTTTTGATCCATAGGTTGAGAGACAACAGCAACAAACACCAACCTTTTTTTGTTTTTTTCTTTTATTATTGTGTCTAGAACTTACAATGTGACAAGTCTGGCCAAGAAAAATCAAGCAGACAATTATTTTTTGACTTCTAATATGCAGGATTACTTATAAAAGGTGCTGTAATTACAACAGGAGACAGGGTTTATGGATGTAAATACCCTCAAATTATAGCTGACAGCCTGCACTTTGTCTTCTTAGCCATTGTTTAATTTTAAATCCAATGTGCTGGAGAACAGAGTCAAAACAATAAAACGTATATCATCGTCCAAATACATTTAAACTATACCAAACAGCTGGAAACTAGAGGTCTGTGCCCTATTCACTGTACTCCAGTATATCACCACTGTATTGTTAGTACTAGTTTAGCTGAAAGCTGCAAGGTGAATTGTTGGTGTAGGACGCACCTAAGAGGCCTTGACATGGCAGGTGAGCTTGCCCTTTAATGCCCATTAGAGTGATACTAAAAACATCCAGTTGTTTAACGTGCATAAGGATTTGAGAAAGTGCGCAGATAACTATTTTGTTTTTTGTTCCCTGTATTATAAATGATCATTATTATTGAGTATGAGAAAAATTAAAGTATTACTAAATGCACCAAAGCCACTGTCTTTGTAGTTGCCTTTGGTTTTATCCCCACAATGTAAAACATTGCAGTTTTGTAGAATTTACTGTTTCCATTGCAGGACTAAACACACCTTTAGTGGCTGTCTTCCTACTTCCTGACAAATAACAATTCCTCTACAACGACTGAGTGAAACTCAGACCTGTGAGAGAATGTAGCTCATAGGAAAGCAATGAATTCAATGCCTCCCTGTAAGAAGCATTTGATTGGACGTGAGCGGTGCTAGCTGTGCATGCACTTCACTTACCCAATGCTCCTCTATGAGAAGCATTACATTGGACCATCGCTGAGAGAGCAATATCTGCTGAATGACGCTGCAAGCGGCAGCGTGGGCAGCAGCACTGTGGGAGTGTCGACACTGGAGAAAAGGTAAGTAAACTTGTTTTACTATATTTAATGCAGTTGGGTGCGTCTTCCAATCTAAATAAAGACTAGGATTCCACAGGTTCAGAGAATACAGGTTTGTATTCCTAATGCTATCGTTTTCCTTCAGAAAGACTCCCAGCATCAGACATACAGACAGTTATCCCTTCTGTGGGGGATTCACAGTTTTAGTTATAAAGCACCAACATATTCCATGGTGCTGTGTAATAGGTAAAGAAAACAAAGCCTATCAACACATTTTAACAAATTAGATGAGACATGAAGAGATATCTGCTTCAATGAACTACCAATGTAGAGAATGTGGGGTATATTTAAACAAATATTGATTGAGCGCTTTATGTTACAATTCTAGCATTTACAGGGGATCACCATCCTAATAGTCACCAGAGAATACATTATTTAATAGTCACCAGAGAATACATTATTTAATGTATAAATTAATCAGGGAGAGAGCGAAGCCACAGACAATGCATGTGCACCATGACTCTGTTGAGAGCAGATTACAGATTGAGCAATTCTTAAATTAATCGCAGCCATGGAATAAATGCTGTCAGTTGAAAGAGCAGCTACTTTCATCCTCAGAGATAAGTATAACTGATTTAAATAATTATTTATTTATCCCATAAACTCCTCACAATCAGAAGTTTGTGGGATAAGAGTTTCCTGGTGTGGGAAGAGTTTGACCTGCCTGTGGCTGTAGGCAGACCAGCAAAACCATGCTGGTAAAGAAAATGCTGCAGGTGAGTAACATTTTTTGTTTATAATTTTACTTATGTTTTTGCATTATGTTTGAATGCATTGACAAATGGGAATTATTTCTTTACCATATAGTCTTTTTTGGAGGAATACAATTGCTGGGTACTACATGCAGACACTGACCGGTAATCATTATGCCTGGGCAGCCTAGAAGCCCAGCAAAATATATTGCAGAGTAAAATGTCAGCTTGAAGGCTGGATGCACAGAGCAGCAATGCACAGACAAGCGCTCTAATCTGACTGCCTCACAATACAGTTTAAACATTGAAAAAAAGAATATTGATTTATCCATGTCAGAGACACGTGCGGCAGTTGCCTAAAAACAGGGCTTAACTACTTCATTGCCGCTGCGTTATTTATAATACTTCTTTCACAGGATTATTCACTAAAGCATGAATTATTGGGAATACAATGTACATTCAAAGTGTATTTCAAAGTGAAGGCCAAAATACCTGAACTGAAAATATAACTGAATTTGAAATTCACTTTGAATTCCCAAAAAGTCCCACTTAAGTGAATATCCCTGTTAATGTTTTTTAATATAATTTAATTACTATTAAGAATATAATTTATTTATATAGTGACAAGGAATTAAGCAGAAGTAAAACGTTCCCACATAGTATTATTGATAAGACTACAATTCTAGCTATCTGGAGGGTTTAGGCAGATTTTGGCACCCCCAGATGCTGTGGATTACATCTCCCCTAATGCTTTGCCAGCAGTTTGGATGTAAGAGCATTATGGAAGATGTAGTTAGCAACTTCTGGAGTGCCAATGGTTGCCTACCTTGCTCTCCTTGTCAAATGCTCCTAATGATTTTTTTAGGCCCTTCGAGATTTCTGCTACGCTACTACGCTAGGACTCTCGCAGTGTAATGGGGTGTGTCCAATCTTGTGACATAAAACAATTAAAATCCAATTTTATTTTTTATAATTTTGTGTAGTTAAAAATAAAAAATAAAAAAATAAAAACATGCAAATAAAAAACCGGTAAAAGGAAATGCAGTTTTTAGACCAAAAAAAAAACAAGCTGGGAAAATAGCATTGGAAAACAGTTGGTGATTTTTTTAAGTTTGGCTATTTTAACCTACAAGTTTGAAATTCTCCACAGTTTTCAATTTAGTGAATAAACCCCTTTGACTACAAAAAATAAGGTTAAACCGAAAATACAGTTTATTCTTACTTGCTCTTCAATCCTATATTCTATAGAAAAGAATTCCCTGTGCAACTTTAAAATGATAAACGCGTGCCAAGCTAGCGTCACGAATTATTTACAATATCACTCATGTACCCAGTCTCCCCACTCTTTATGTGTTAGTAAGCCAGGCTGTCACACTGCTGAGATGAGCAACAGTAAAATGTCACAGGCATCACTGTACATGTGTGACCTTGAGCAATCTCTGGGTGTCCTTGAAATACACAAACCCAGGCCTCTGTTTCTAGGCTTCACTCCATCCCCAAAATGTGTTGTTTAACAAGATCCCACACATTAGGTTGGTAAAATCATTAGATAAATACACATTTAACCAGACAATATGTATTGTAAAATTGCATAATTTCTTGTAAGAATCACATTTAGGATATTCAGGCCAATAACCAATATCCTCTGCCAAATGAGCAGAGTTTAAAATAGTTTAAAACATAGGCTGGCATAGCATCTAAGGAGCTGAATTTCAACAGCTGCGTTTTACCTATCTTTTGGGCACTAATTTTTTTTTTTTTTGTAAATATGGTTTTATTGTCGTTGTTGCAAGAAAAATCCGACATTCCAAACTTATCTGTAACATGTAGACTCGCAGGTCTTAGATATATATTCATAGAACGATGGTCACATTTCAATAGCATATTCGTGCGGGCACGCAGGCCCCGTCAACCTTGGAATATTGTGTCGGCCCTCAGGCCTCTTTTTCTCTCTGTGGTTTAATTATATCTCTGGGTCCTCATGTTCTGGCTGGAATCCTGGGTCCCACGGGTTGGTGTCCTGTCCTGTAGGTCTCTTTACGGTCCGGGGAGTCTAATTCCAAGGGTCTGGGTGCTGTGTTGACCTGCCCTAATTCCTTCATGTCGCCTATTGGTAGTCATGCGTGTGTGTCTGATCTCTATTGGTCAATTGTTCTATCATGTTTCCTAGCATTTTTGTCCGTTTGTTACTGGCTCTATATGTTCTAGGTACACATCTGTTGGTGTCTTGCTCCTATTTGTGACGTCTAAACGTCGATCTCCCTGTAAATCCGAGTCTATGTTGTCTATTTTCATCTGGGTGTGATGTGTTTATTTCTCTTCTGTTGTACCCTCTTTGTTGTGTCCTTTTTTTGTTTATATGTGTTTCTTACACATAAGCGGGTTAAGTGTGTAATATAGTGTTTTCTGTTCTGTCCGTGTTATGTGCTTCTCGCTGTGTATCATTGTTTATGTTGGGTTGTTTGTTGCAGTGTATATCGGTGTCCTAATTTTTGCAGCATTCCTGTACTCAGGGTGTGTCTCTGGGGTTTATTGTGTCCCTGTATCCCTAAGCCGTCTAATGTTGTCATGCCCTTTTCTCTCTGGAAGGCTTACCCTTTCCGCTGGGGCAGGTCCTCTTGTTTGTATCTGCTCCCTTGCTGTTTCCCTGTCCTCTGTGCCAGTGAGTTACCCTTTTTCGGGTTCCTGTCTGGCGTCGTGTGTGTGTGCTGGGTACCCATTCGGGTTGGGCACTAATTTAGAGAGAATCTAGCACTGAGAATTCAGTTGTTCATTCAACGTCAATGCACTTTTTTGAGATTCTGAATGTTTGTTTAACTTACAATGTTTCCAATCTCCATCCAGTGTTAGTGACACAGTCGGGAGTTCATTGACCCACTCCAATTAGTGTTTGTATGGTGTGACATCCCTTGATGGCACGCAACAGAAGTTTCCCTGATCTATCTGCAAACTCCTGCTCACAGTTCTGAACCATATTATGATGTAAAAGAGTAATTAAAAGGCAGGACATCAAGCTAACGAATCACTAGCATTACGAGTGCTTTCTGATGAGAGTTGTATTTCAAAACTGATCCACGTTTCTATAGCCACTTTAAATCAAGGAAAAAAACAAAAGTTTATAGGCGCTCTCTATAGTACAACAAATAAGTGGGGGCTGCTGTATACAGTACAAGGATTCCCAAAACCTTGTGTAATAGTGAAACAAAGATACAATATGACGTATACTGCGCCTAAAATCATACGTACATACAACTGCAGAAGAGGGGGCTGTTAAATACCTGGCTCCACGCTGCTCGGATCCCTATAGACTTTAAATCAAATCTGAAAAGAGGGGGGATATACTAATCTCGGGAGCTTATATCTAACACATAGCTTTTTATAGTACCAAGCCTCTGGCCCCAAGTGTAAAACAAAATTCATTTAAAAAATGAAGTTAAAGGAACACTATAGTGTCAGTAACACAAACATGTATTCCTGACTCTATAGTGTTAAAATCACTCTTTAGGTCCTAGCCCCCCGCCCCACTCTGCCCCGACATCCTAAATATACTAACATCTTATCTTTTTTCCATTAGCGCAGGTCCGTCGGCGCTGGTTCTGCTCCTGATCTGTCTCCTAGTGCGGACATCATTAGATGTGATGATTTCAGCCAATCACAATGATTTCCCATTGGATTGGTTGATATTGTCAATTTTGATGATCTCAGCCAAGGAGGTGGGGTGGGGGCAGAGCCAAACACCGCCGTGGCCAATCAGCATCTCCTTATAGATCTCTAGGAGGAAAGATCACAGTCTCCATGCACTGTATAGAGATGCTGAACATCAGTGATGCAAACTGTGCAGCACTGACCCAGGAAGCACCTCCAGTGGCCGTCTAAAGAGTGGCCACTAAAGGTGTCCCTAGGTTGTAATGTAAAGAATGCTTTTTCTCTGAAAAGGTAGAGTTTATAGCAAAAAGCCTGCAGGGACATGGTATAGACACCAGAACAACTACATTAAACTGTAGTTGTTCTAGTGACTATAGTGTCCCTTTAAATACAAGGCCATTTGTTTACTTGTACAGTAAGGCTTTTGGGCCCTGGCTAGTGTACATAGTTTACACTCTAAGAGAGTTAGGTATTTGTGTCTATAGGCAACTTGAATTATTATTATTACAATGATTTATAAAGTGCCAACATATTCCATAGCACTGAATGTAAATCATGCTTTCTATGTAGAATAACAAAATTACTGGAAACATCTTTATCGCTGGATTGGAATCTTACCATTGCAGCAGTCTATCATAATAAATCTCCCCAGGGGAGCGATGCAAAACTCGGATCACTAAACTCCTAACAGAGCCATGGGAATATATGGTGCTGTACATACTGTATCCATTTGTTTCACAGCTTTTACGTAAGCTAAGATCACAAAATATTTTCATTAAAGGAACAAGTTTCATTTTTGAGGTTAGATTACTGGGGCCCTTCTTCTTTAAAAAAAAAAAAAAAAGTAAATAAAAGCTATCAAGCGTACTTGTAATCTATGGCTAGACCATGAGAAGTATTGTACACATTTGGCATCATCACACTATGTGTGATGACATCAAACATGAAGACCTTCGAAAATCAAAGGTCTTCAAGGAGGAAGCACATTTATTGACTGTCAGTCTGAACAACTAGAGGTGTGGTTTAGAATTCTTTTTAGAAACAGCAACATTTTACATTGCTAAAATAATGGGGCAGGATGTATTTACTAAAAACACTATATGAAAGGAACACTATAGGGTCAGGAACAAAAAACATGTATTTCTGAGCCTATAGTGTTAAACCCATCATCTAGCCCCCCTGACCCCCCTCTTGCCACACAAAATATAGTCAAATTTTACTTGTATTTAAGTCTGGAGCTGCTGCCTCTAAACTCTGACATCATCAGAAGTAGTGGTCTGAGCCAATCACAATGCTTCCCCATAGGCTTGGCTGAGACTATCAAGGAGGTAGATCAGGGGCAGAGCCAGCACAAGTCAAACACAGCCCTGGCCAATCAGCATCTCCTCATAGAGATGAATTGAATCAATGCATCTCTATGAGCAAAGTTCAGTGTCTGCATGCAGAGGGTCAACTAGAACCAGAAAAGTTCTCTAATTCCGCTATGGTTCCAGTTCAGCAACATTGGCCTTAAATTAAAAATTTACTTTGAATTCACCTTAAATTCTTACTTTAGTGAATAACCTTTTAATGAAGAATCATGAGGTAGTAGTTCAACAACAATTGGAGAAACATGTTTTGCTTCCTCTGTTTTATGGAGTTATTTCTGAATAAACAGTGTGGCCCAACTGGGTGATTGTGGCCAGATATAGCACAAGAATTTCATTAAACAGATCTCTAGACCCCCAATGGCTTCCCAAAAATCTGCAGATTCTGCTAAAAATCACTACAGGAATTTTATCTAAAACAATTTAAAGGGACAGTCCAGACCCCTAAAGTACTTTAGCTTACTAAAAAGCTTTATTTGTGAAAAGTGTGTCCTCTTTTTTTCATTTTGCAAAAAGTGTAGACTTTTATGAATTATACTAGTTACAAGCAGACAACAGGTCCTATATACTAATTCCAATGTGGGAGACAAATCAAAGGTGGTAGGGCTAAATAATGATTTATCTCCCATGTTTGAATTAGTGTAGGACCAACGAATATTGGGGTATTTTGAAGTAGTAGTGGGCTTATCACAATATGTCCATATGGTGGAACTGAATCCCCATATATGTTTGCTGAGATTAGTGATTGTAAGTAGCCTTATAGAATTTAGAAATGCATTTTGAGTGCGCTGTTCCTTAATCTGTATTATGTATAAATTCTGGTCACTACGGCAGCACCATTCCTGCAAGATGCATGTTCCGGGTGCATCCCCAATTCCCTTTTGTTTTTACTTTGTAAGTTTGGATTCCAAACCAAATTCCCTTTGTGGTTAATCCAACTTCAGAGACCCCTTTGGCGGTGAACACAGGTATATATTTGAGGAGGTTTTGGATAGTAATGTCACTTCAATTATAATTTTCATTGAGCAGATATATAATTTGCATTGTGAATATATATGTTAAAGCACTATTACTTTAATTGTTTAGTTTGGACACTGTTTTATTTGATCGTATTTATCACATTAAATTTGTATTATATATATTTACAGTGCTTTTACAGATTACAGTATTTAAATACACTTCAGCTTATTTAGCACTAGCACTTTTCGATTTGTTTCCCACGTTGGAATTAGCGTAGGACCCACCGATATTGGGGTACTGTGAAGTAGTGGTGGGCTTAACACAATATGGCCATACAATAGTCAGTCCAGTCCTTTGAACTGTAGTTTCAAATGGACAATATTAAAGGGGAACTGTCACATCTCTTAAAATTGTACCATTGATAATAGCATTGAAGAACCTTTTTTTCATGTGATGTTCCTTTTCCATTTAAATGTATATTTAAGATTAAGCAATTTACATCACCACCCAGTTCAGTTTAAGCACAGTCATAGCACTGGAGAAGGAGAAAAAGAAACTGTTTATGTTTTTTCTCCTATTTCTGTGCTCTTCCTAAACTGTTAACTAAGCTGGCTGCCAAGTGCAATGATTGACAAGCAACTAAGATGTAGGCACTCAGTTCCAGAATACAGCGATGTTCATATCTACATATAATTTTATTTTATATTTCAGATCTCAAAAATACATATTTGTTCAATTCCGGGTTTGGGTAAATATAATATAAAACAATAATCAAAGAAGTGATACAATAATGGTAAGTGGTCTCAGTAATAATAAAAGCCAGGGAAAGACCTCACCTGGAGTATTGTACACAGTATTGGAGACCGTATCTTCAGAAGGATATTGATACCTTAGAGAGGGTTCAGAGAAGGGCTACTAAACTGGTTCATGGATTGCGGGATAAAACTTACCAGGAAAGGTTAAAGGATCTTAACATGTATAGCTTGGAGGAAAGACGAGACAGGGGGGATATGATAGAAACATTTAAATATATAAAGGGAATCAACACAGTAAAGGAGGAGACTATATTTAAAAGAAGAAAAACTACCACAACAAGAGGACATAGTCTTAAATTAGAGGGACAAAGGTTTAAAAATAATATCAGGAAGTATTACTTTACTGAGAGGGTAGTGGATGCATGGAATAGCCTTCCAGCTGAAGTGGTAGAGGTTAACACAGTAAAGGAGTTTAAGCATGCATGGGATAGGCATAAGGCTATCCTAACTATAAGATAAGGCTAAGGACTAATGAAAGTTTTTAGAAAATTGGGCAGACTGGATGGGCCGAATGGTTCTTATCTGCCGTCACATTCTATGTTTCTATGTTTCTATGTTTCTATTTTAGTATGTCCACCTTGGAGGAAATGAGACAAGGTATTAATTTTCACATATGTTAAAGAAAAATCTAACAGAATAAGATGGCAAATTTTGAAAGGTGCAACAGTGAAGTATATGACGGAATAGTAGACAGAAATTGTAGTACATACCTAGATTTGTCTTCAAATGGAAGCAATAAAGTCCATTTAATATATACGTGGCATAGATAAATGTTTATTGTAATTTTTCTTTCAGTTTGTATCTCTTGGCGATTGACAATTGCCTGCTGCCAATAACCGGTATGTGGCTCAGGATATTCCAAATTCCCTAATAAAATGGGTGGCCAAAGCAAAACTGTCCAGCCATTGTGGAAATAAATAATTATATTATGTTTGCCAGTAAACAGATGAGAGCTACTTGCTGTCCATCCTTGCTATGCATGTACCATATGGAGGATGCCTCTTAGACAAAGATTTGGCACAAAACATGTCAAGACACCTGTTATACTTCCCAAGTCAGAGATTAAATTAAGGATAACAAATTACAATCTTTTTTTAATAATTGCAATGCTTTACTCACTAAATAAGGAATTTTAGATATTTGACAAGGCAATTGAAAATGTAGACTATCATTTGAAACACAATCTCTACATCAGTATTCCCCAGCTCAGCTAATTTCTCCTGTAATGTGGAAATCCTTTATGAATTTTTCACAATGATAAAGCCCTGTGTCATCTTGGGACCTATTATGCTTTTTTGGGTTGCAGTCCTCTATACTAAATCTTTGTGTAGTGCGTGTTTTAATAGTGTATTGTCTGCTCTCACCAATGGCTCTAGATAAGGCTGCCCGCTGTCTGCACTCCTTTTTGTTCTTAGTTTGAAATTTACAGCTTGCAGGGCATATTTTGCGATCTGAGGTACACAGGTAGAAAGAACCATGTTAGATTGCGGCCCTTAAAGATTACCTGCTTTTCAAGGTTATGGATCCTGATACTTCTCTTCCAGCCATAATGCAGGAATTTCACACGTTTATCTCCCTGTCAAAATCAATTATTCTATATTTGTCGTGCAGCCGTGCAGCCGTGCAGCGATTTCCCACCTCTCTTGGTGTGATGGAGCCATAACTTACATGAGCACACAAATTAAGTCCATCTTATCTCAGGAGTACCAGCAAAACTTCCTTTCCTTGGCTGAAAAGTGTCAAGTCTGATTTCGACAATTTGTCACTGCCAAAAACGGCTTCGCCTGCTAGGATTCATATTCAGTGTGCTGAGTATGAACATCTTGCTGCAGTTTCTGTTCTTACTCCAGAAGTTACCAGTACATATCCTGAGCTCCTTTTATTTTAGACTACTTCGAACTGAGTATGTGTGGCAGTGATGCAGGGCTTGCTTGAGGCAAGCCCTGCATCACTGCCACACCCCAAATGACATGGTGGTCTTGGGTCACCAGACGTATCTAAATATAATAAGACTGTTCATTTACAGAGAATTCAGTGCCTTCATGTAATCTCAGGGTGGAGATGGAGAAAAGTTTTGCTACAGCCCCACTGTACGCTTTTCCATGGACCACTGGAAGCATTCACCATTGTGTATCCAGGAGCCATCACACTATTCAACACATGCTGTCAGCCTGGAGACAGTCTGCTTTGCAATTTAAGCTGTTCCCTGCACTCTCCCTGAAAATCCGCTTCCACCAACTCATTTTTTTCTTTCATTTTGGGCCTTTTGCCTTCTCTCAGAATGTCCAACTCTTTTGAATTCCTCCGCGCACAGCAATTCTGGTTTTATACACAACTTTGATCATTGCCTTGGAGGAGACTCCTCACCCATATTTTATGAGATATTGGGAGTGAGATCTTGGACACCCAGTACCCTACGAAGAGTCCTCACCCATAGGTCTTCTATAAGCATTTAGTACCATGAATTAGGCTACAAGATGCTCACCCACTGGTATAATACTAGTAATAAATTTGAAGCATTTCCATCCAGAGTGCAAGATCCAGAGTGCTGGCGATGTAAACGATAGTTAGGTACTCTGTTCCATATGTGGTAGGGCTGCAATCTTTCTGGAAGGATGTGTTCATTCAGTGCTTGTTACGCTTACACGTGTCCTGCTCACCCTCTCCGCAGAGATCTACTTATTGCATTTCCTCCCTATTTCACACAAGAAATGCTGCAATTTCTTACTCCCACATTTAAGCAATGCTGCACACAGCCTCACTCTGGGTTATTGCAGGTGGAGTGCGATTTTCATGATTAGAGACTGGATTGCCAGCATATGATTTATGGAGGAGCTGATTCTTTCCAACTCTGGCAACTATCAGAAGTATGCTTCTATATGGTTCTATAGGATATGGTTGCTATTGTCTAATATAGATTTGACCTGAATATTGGTAACACTGACCGAAAGCAGATCCCCTGCCTTGTCTGCCCCCTTGTCCCCTGGAGCTGAAATCTAGAAACCTGCCCCAACCACCCTCTTTTTTTCTCTCCTTCTCTCTTAACTTTTTTTTGTGAAATCTCTTTTTATTGAGTTTTTGTAGATATGGAGACAAAAGAGTTGTAGGCCCCACTATATACATACATGCAGATATTACACAGATACACAGCTTGTTCGGATCCAGTTACGTTATCAGGTGTTATATAACTGCGGGCGGTGGTTCCCGACTCTCTGTACAACTTAAACTCATATCAAGATTATTTGTTCTTATTGATTATTACTGGCCTTAATCAATAATTTATTTTAATTATTACTGGCATTTATAAAGAGTCAATATATAATATTGTCCATGTGTGAAATATTGCATATATGTTCAATATACTTTGAATGGAAAAAAGCCCTGTGTGTGACTACCTAAACACATCTGATGGCTAGACTAGCAAAACTGGTGTAAAAAGATTGAAATTAGGTCATGCTTAAGGAAAGCAATGCAGATGTGTCTCTTTTTAATTAGTTGACATAAGTTTATCACTGATCGAAGTTCTCAAAAACCTTAAATATTAAATGGATGATGTAAAGGCAGAATGTCATCACACTGCATTTGTAACACATTCTCCATATGTTGTTTCATCAAGGGATCAATCACAGATAGGTGTGGTACTAAGCAATTATTATTATTATACTTATTATACTATTATACTTAACAGTATCATGCTAACATCCCATCCCAATATATTTCTATATATATATATGACTTATGGTGAGCTGGTGGCAATTGGAAGAGTTAAGGCTAAAACAGTTGCACATTTTTATTACACATTTTAATCTATAATGTCAATTGTCAGCTCACTGTTTAATTTAATGACACCCAAATAATGTATATGACATTAGCTTGCATATGTTTTTAATCTGTAAATACACATTTATCATATTTTTTAAACATGTACCCAGTGTTATGGAGTACTACATTCTGTAAAATAACCTGAAACCCCATAAATACAATGTGCTTGGTCCCACGCGCTGACAAATAGGACCTAGTTCTGGGCTCTGACCCAAGGTTATTAACCACTACTTTAGCAAATACATCTCAAAAGGTACCCATTCCCTACAGATATTTAGAAGCATATGTGGCCATTTTAATATTAAGTAATTTTACAATAAAAACATCTTTAATAAACATGAACTGTTTTGTTTTTTTTTAGTAAGAATTGCTACTAGGAGTTTTAATCATTATGATAATATCGAGAATTTACAAAAATAATATATATTTTATTACAATACATTTTTATTACAAAACAAAATATGTCAGGTTTAAATATTCATGCCTAAATATGTTATGTTATGAGCTTGTGAATGTTTCCCAATTCCCAGCTTATTTAATAAATGCCCAATAGGTATATAAATTCTACAATAGATTTTGGGATGAATAAAATCGGAGGGAAGGGGCATGCAGGTATGGCTGCCCAATGGAAAGCATTAAAAAGTGGGAGCCTGATGTGCATGTGCGTTGGTTGTCACAGCGCCCTGTTGGTCAGACAACCTTGGCATTAGCTGCAGAAGTGCTATCTTATTGGTCGAAGCTTGAACTCTGCTTTTTTATAGGACTTTTCTTTTTGTTGTAGTATGACACAAGAGGAAAAAAAGCCATGACCAAGGGAGAGTAATAGAGAGTGCTCTGCCAGATCTGGGGCACATGGGAAGTAAGTAGATTGAGGACTGTTACTGCAGCTAAACTTACCTTGGAGGACCAGACGGCTTCCAATATTTGCAATAAATGTGCTGCCCATCTTCATTCACACAGTAGGTTAAATCCTTATATGGGATGCCCTGAGGAGTAAGCCTGGGAGTGTGGTCTTCAGGCATCATTGGGGTATTCCTATAAAGAATAATTCAAAATCTAATGAAAAATAAATAAATAGATAAAATTATATAGGTATATATAAATATATACATACAAAGACACACTGTGTATTTAGAGTGTATAGAGTGTTTACAATATGAGTGTGTAAATTCTACCTGCAAAACTAAATACACTTCTACAGTTTTGAAAGAGTTTAATAATATATAGATGAAAAAAAGAAATCTATGCAACATTCACACTAGCTCATGCCCCATGGTGTGATATGATGGGGTAATTATGGGGATACCTGAATGTGAATGGTGTTAATATGCTTCTCCAAACAGTCCTCAGTCCTTTCCCTGCCTGAGTTCTGAATGTTCATTAATCATTCTGATAATTAAATAATGTTGACATGTTAGGTGATCTTTGCAGAAATTCAGTGCTGACGTGATAGTATGCGATATTCAAAATGAAGTCAGCTAAATTATCCCAAATCTGACATCTATATAAGAACATGAATTTTTATTACTATATGATGAAAGCTGGAGGGAATATTCCACAAATTATCAAATGAGATGGATCAGAACATATTCCTAAAACACCTATTGCTGCAGTGATAGGGTTAATAATCAGCAGACCCCACAGGATATCATACAAAAGGCTCCCTCCAGCATCTAGCATGGGACAATTGGAGATAACTATGAACGGTAAATACTAAATGCTCCATAAAGAGCAGGTGCTATTATAAAGGCAAAACATTGCAGGTCGCAGGTGCACACATGAAAAACAAGTGTACTATTACACCACTTGTGCTAGCGCGCCTTTTTCTGGCAACTATACTGAATGCATTTAACATAAAAAATACATACGGGGGGCCTGTCCTGACCGCACATGTGAGCAGACGTGTGAGACCGGAGCTCTTCGAAACCGGGCTATCACAGCGTGGAGTAACCGACGAAACACCGGCTAAACTAGTAAACCACAAGGGGAATTCACCTCTTACCTAATGGCGACAAAACCGCAAAAAAAAATGAAACAGAAAACTATACATGCCCACCTGGAGAAGAATCAAGCAATGGAGCATGGTGAGCAAGATGGTGCCGATAGGCCCAAATCCCCAGCATGCAATTCTGAAGCAGAGGACAGCAGACACAGTCAGGAAAGCCCAGCGACGAACTCCTCTATCCAATCGATCATGCACGAATTGAAAGCCTCATTTAAAGCAGACCTGCAGCAGATGGCAGCAGACATCAGGTCAGATATCAACAGCATAGGGGAACGCACAGCGCGTCTAAAAGAGCGCACCGAGGAGTTAGTAGATGCACACAACTCCATGGCAGAGGCTTACACACCCCTAACACAAAAAATAAAAGCATTGGAAGGGAAAGTAGCTGACCAGGAGGACAGAAGCCGAAGAAATAATATACGTATAATAGGTATCCCAGAATCTGTTACACAAACAGGATTAACCCGATATGTGCAGGACTTATTTAGAGTGCTTGTCCCCTCACTAACTGATTCAGAGCTAATCCTGGACAGAACGCACCGTCTCCCCAAACCCAAACATCTCCCACCTGAAACAATGAGAGACACCATTACAAGGGTTCACTACTACCCTGTCAAGGACCGCATCATGCAAGCAGCCAGAACTGCAGGCCACTGGCCTGACCCATATACTGACATCAAACTCTTCACAGACCTCTCATCAACAACAATGCTCGCACGCCGTACGTTTGCACCCATCACTGCAGCACTACGAGCAGCAAATGTCCCCTACAAATAGGGCTTCCCTGCAAAGTTGTTAATCAAACAGAATGGTGTAGACAAACCAATACTCAGTCCAGATGATGGGAAAAAGATCCCCCAGGAATGGAACATTCCACTACAGGCCAGCAGCCCCAAGAAGCCGCTGCCGACCACAGCACCAAAATCTCTCACTAAAGACTGGGAACAAACAACGAAGGCTTCACGCACACTCACGGACCGAAGAAACTGACAGACCATAGCAACACTCGGTGATAACCGAATGGACTGGAAGTACAGGTTTTATAGTTATATTTAATTACTTGATCCCCTCATACTCTATTCTATAATTGTCGGTTAAAAGACCCATGACCCAGGCCGTGATCGGGTGAGATAACACCCGGACTCTCTATGCTTGAACCTCTGCATTGTTGTAGATCATATACGTTGTAGATCTCGACATTTTGCTCCAAGTGGGCCACCCCCAAGGCTCCTACGTAGCCTAAACCGTCTGTTGCTTTACGCAACCCAATGCCACCACATGGTGACACATGGAGTATTATATATAGTTATTACCTTGTTGCTCCCCCCCCCACCTTGTGAGTATATCCACGAATTGCACCATACCCGACTTACAACAGAACCTTGAGTCTTTAACATCTAGGAGTACAGCGCACCTTAAACTACCTTATGGTGATTAAAATTATGTCACTAAACACGAAAGGGCTTAACTCCCCGAACAAATGCAGGTTGGCCATACAGGAGGCAAGAAAATGTGGCGCTCTAGTGGCGTTCTTCCAGGAGACACACTTTAGGTGGAAAGATAGGCCTAAATTTACCTCCAAATGGTTCCCCCATGACTTCCACACCTGCTATACAGCCAAACAACGGGGCGTCTCCATTTTAATAAGCAAAGATGTAGTGTTTTCTCTAGTCTGCAAGATAAATTATAGAAAAGGGCGATACCTAATATTGCAATGTCTCCTTAATAATACTCCATACACACTGGTCAACATTTACAGTCCTAATGAGAACCAACATGAATTCTTAACCTCGACTCTGGCACTACTTGACATGTATAAATATGGGGAGGTAATTATTGGAGGTGACACGAACCAGGCCCGGACTGGCCATCGGGCACACCGGGCAAATGCCCGGTGGGCCGCGGTGTCCGTGGGGCCGAGGCCGGCAGGGGAGGTCCCAGGATCTCCTCTGCCGGTCTATGCAGGGCCGGCACTCTCCTAGCGCCGGCCCCGCTGTTTTCCACGACGGGCCGTTGGGGAGATCAAGGATCTCCCTGACCGGCCCACATGCGGCCGCCGGCGGGGAGAGAGGGAGGGAGACAGCCAGCCAGGCTGGAGAGAGGACCCGGCGGAGCTCTAATTTGCAGCTCCGCCGCGTTCCTCTCGCGAGATCCGGCGCGTTGCCATGGCAACGACCGGATCTCGCGAGAGTGAACTCTAGCCTCACAGGCTATGCTGGCTAGAGTTCACTCACCCACGAGGACCACCAGGGAACAGCTCCACCCCGCCTGCCAGCGTGCCGGACCCCCCCTCCCAGGCTAAAGGTAAGAAGGGAGGGGGGGGGAATAATTACTGTTTTTTTGTTTTGTTTTTTTTTAAATTTTATTTACCCCCCCCTACACACACACACAATAACATTTATACAGCACTCTCACACCCATCACACACAGCACTGTCACACCCATCACACACAGCACTCTCACACCCTGCACTCTCACACCCATCACACACAGCACTCTCTCACACAGCACTCTCACACCCATCACACTCACAGCACTCTCACACACACACAGCACTCTCTCACACGGCACTCTCACACCCAGCACTCTCACACCCATCACTCTCTCACACAGCACTCTCTCACACAGCACTCACACCATCACACTCACAGCACTCTCACAGAGCACTCTCACACACACACAGCACTCTCTCACAGCACTCTCACACCCATCACACTCACAGCACTCTCACAGAGCACTCTCTCACACACATCTCACACAGCACTCTCACACAGCACTCTCACACACGGCACTCTCACACCCATCACTCACACACGGCACTCTCACACGGCACTCTCACACATACCGCACCCCTCTCACACACACACCGCACCCTTACACACACACATACTGCACCCCTCACATACACACAGAACCCCCCCAACACACTGCACCACACACATACACAATACTTCCAAATATATATATATATATATATATATATATACATATATATATACATATATATACACACACACACACACACACTACACTCTTAAAGGACCACTCTAGCCACCCAGACCACTTCTGCTTAATGAAGTGCTCTTGGTGCCAGGTCCTTCTAGGGTTAACCCATTGTTTTATAAACATAGCAGTTTATCAATGGGTTAAGCCTTCCCCCAAAGCCTCTAGCAGCTGTCTCATTGACAGCCACTAGAGGCGCTTCCGTGCTTTTCACTGTGAAAATCACAGTGAGAGCACGCAAGCGTCCATAGGAAAGCATAATAAATGCTTTCCTATGCGACTGGCTGAATGCGCGCAGCTCTTGCCACGCGTGCGCATTCAGCCGACAGGGCGGATCGGAGGAGGAGAGCTCCCCGCCCGGCGCTGGAAAAAGGTAAGTTTTAACCCCTTTCCAGAGCCGGGCGGGAGGGGGTCCCTGAGCCACATATGCATCACATTACACCACAAACACAACACGACTAAAACCGACCTTATTACACAATACCACACCACGACCAGCTCACTCTGCACACACGCAATACCACAAGCAGGCTCCAAACACATGCACAATACTCTTTCCTGGCCTTTTGTCTCCTGGTATCCATTTATAGAGACACCAGAGACAAGTTGCAAGGAAACACAGTGCAAGCATGTTATTAAATTTGCTTGCACTGTGCAGAACAAATACAGGACTTTTTTCTCATGCTAGAGCTCTTCAGCAGAGCTCTGCGCATGGTCTGCCCTGGAAGAGCATTGAACCAACATGCTCACTTTGAGAGGAGGCGTGTTTGTCATTGGTGATGACAAAACACACCTCCTCTGCCCCGCCCCCTTTTTAGTGGGCCGCTGTGTTAAAAAAAATGCCCGGGCCGAATTTTTCTCCCAGTCCGGCCCTGACACGAACTTCTTATTAGATGGCGAGTCTGACTCGTCCACTGCTACAGGGCTTTCACGAGGCACCATGCGGCAAAGAATGGCTCTAGCAGCCAAAATCTGCACCACGCTAGCCTCCCACCACTTGGTGGACCCATGGCGCATCCTCCATCCCACAGAGGTGGATTACACATGTCATACAGTGGCACACAATAGCTACTCCCGAATAGACAGAGTCCTCATTCCCGCCACATCAATGCCTTACATAGAAGAAGCTACTATTGGAACAATGTTATGGTTTGACCATGCACCTATCACCCTTAGTGTTAAGGAAGCATTCCCCAATAAAGGGACAGGCACATGGAGACTTAACGAGTCCCTTCTGACAGATCCCTCCATAGTCGCACAGATCACTACAGACCTCCAGCATTATTTCACTGAAAATACGATAAATGACTCCCCTATAGAACAAATCTGGCTAGCACATAAAGCGGTCATACAGGGTAGTCTCATAAAACATGCCAGTCGAGCCAAAAAACTAAGGATGGCAAAATATGACTCGCTGGTAGCGGAAATCACTATACTGACACACTCCAACAAGCGAGAACCAAGCAAGACCATTTACAAAAAATTATTAGCCCTCCAAAGCCAATTGAAAAACATAGAGTTAGCCAAAACAACGTATCTCTTACGCAAAGCTAAACACAACTTCTTTACCAATGGCAACAGAGCAGGTGCCAAGTTAGCATCACAATTAAAGGAGAGGAGTGTCGCCTCCAAGATTGCCTTCCTAATAGATAATAAGAGGAAGAAGACATTGAACCCACAAAGTATTGTAGATCTGTTTGCAAAATATTACAGTGAGTTGTACAATCTCAAAAATGACCCCGACATGTTCTTACCTACCCATGATGACATTGACAAATTTTTAACAGACCTCGATTTACCGCAACTAAAGGACGGAGACCTAGACCTTCTACAACAACCGTTCTCCTTAGACGAGCTCACAGCTGTAGTATCACAACTCCCAGCCCACAAATCCCCAGGACCCGATGGCCTCACGAATGCCTATTACCAGAAATTCTCAACTATCCTCACGCCACACCTTCTAAATCTTTTAAACCACTGTGCTACTGCGGGTGCATTGCCAGATGAGATGCTGTTTGCCCATATATCCACCCTCCCTAAGCCTGGCAAACCCCCCACCCAATGCAAAAATTTCAGGCCTATCTCCCTTCTTAATGGAGACGCCAAAATTTATGCTAAACTCATTAGCAACCGAATGGCCCCTCTCCTCCACAAATTGTACACAATGACCAATCGGGGTTTGTGGGGATATTTATGGGATGATAAATTTAAGCAGTCGAGAATTGCCCACTATTTCAATTCTCTTAAATCTTAGAGATCGTTTATCATGTAAGTGAAAAGTATTCCATACAATTAATGATCACAATGTGTTATAAAAATAGATTTTATTTTTATTGTAACAAATTAATTAACAAATAATATTAGGCAACATGCATGATAATAATCAGTAAATATTTAGTATAACATAATTTGCAATACAATGGAATGGCTAACACGTTTCAACGGCTACAGCACCAGCTGTCACTTAAGATTTATGAGGGTATCCTTACAGACAAAAGTAAAGCTTTTCACAGCGAAGAGCCATAAAACCCTGGCTAACAGTTAGATCAACTGAATAACCCTTTCAATGCTGGCTAGATCCTCCTAGGCATATAGTATCCTATTCTCCTGTGATTTTCAATTAAAATAACATTTGAACCAGCTCATTAGTCATTTCCTGGAACCATCCAATAAGAATAATCTACCAGATTTTTACAAAAGCAGAATTTTAGTTTGTCTAAAAAGATATCTTATCTTATTTTAGAATAAATCAATACACCTGGATAAAAACAACGGTATGCTAACACGTGATAACATCACATTAATATATAATTATTCTTAATTCCACCTGCAGAATGGAATGTTTATAACTATATATTCTTTAGTTAACTAAGATTTCTAAATATGAAATCTGACCGTGATTTATCCAGTCATATAGCATGCTATTAGTAAATTTTTATTAATTTAAATTAATTAAATGAAACCAGCATAATTACCAGTTATGTGGATATTCTCATCAGATGAGTAGGTAGTCCCAGAGACTTGATTGGTTGTATGTAGGTGTGTGAGTGATAGAAAAAATATTAAAGAGTTTAAGAGTTTATGTCCAAGAGAGTTTAAGGGTAGAGTGTTAGTCCCAGATATTGTCCTGGATTTCTCTGCATGTCCGAGTTGGAGTCCCCAAAGTTCCAATTCCTCTCTCTCTGTATCTCTATTCCAACCCCAACTACCTCTGTCTTCCCTTTGTCCTAACTTTTAAAGGGCCAGACTCTCTGTACGTCATTAGTTGATAACCCAATAGGCAGCTGTAGGTGTGTACAATCGATGGGTCGCAATTTAGGTATTTGATCCATAGATGGCAGTCTCGTCTAACGAAACCTTCCTATCCAGGAAAGAGTTAACTTTTCCTGATGACGATTTTGATGTCATTTGGCTTATCTAAAATGACTACCATAACTTAGATTTGCTTTCAGTTCAAAGCGTTTGGCTCAGTCTTTGTGGCATCTACTTGATCGTAACTTGTAAAATTGACAGTTCTAAACTCCATTTCAACCCTTTCTTACAATGGTACCTTGTAAAATTTAGAAAGTAAAATTAATTACTTAGTCTTCTCTGTCACTAGTGTCTGTGTTTAGATATGCATCTATTCCATTAACATTTTAGACAGAGCGTTCCATCCCCCTTGCTTCATTGCTTATCTTGGTTTGTTTATGTAATATATTCCTCAGCTCAAGCAAGTGGCTAGTTACAGAAGTAAGAAGAAATCAAGGAAATTATGTGTTTTTGTTATCCTGAAGATAGCAAAATGGAGTCTGCTTTGTTTTGAGTGACTTGGGCAATATACACCTTTAATTTCTTTTTAGCACAAAATGTCTGTTGATATAAATATTCTGACAGGTTCATAAAAGGCCGTCAAGGCTCTGACAACACCAGGAAAATTCTGAACATGTTGTCAACACTTGAAACCGGCGGTTCGAAGGGCCTCTTCCTCGCACTTGACGCGGAGAAGGCCTTCGACCGCTTAAACTGGGCGTATATGGCCAAGACTCTACACAAATTTAACTTCCCTGTGTCTACCATAAAAAGTATCATGGCGTTATACCACAATCCAGCGGCCAGAGTCTCCCATGGAGGCTTCCTGTCAAACCCCTTCTCCATCACAAACGGCACCCGCCAAGGTTGCCCCCTATCCCCTCTTCTGTATATACTGGCCCTGGAACCCCTAGCTTGTAAAATCAGACTACACCCTGACATACAAGGGATTCCTATACAAGGCAAGATGTACAGCCTAGCCCTATTCTCTGATGACATCTTCGTAGCACTGACGGACCCTACCAACTCCCTACCCCATATGCTAAACCTCATACAACAATTCAGAAGAGTCTCATATTATAAACTAAATCAAGACAAAACCCAGGCCTTACCCATCAACTTACAGACTCCGTCTGTACCACATACAAATTTGACTGGAGAACTACCTCCATCACATATTTTGGGATAAAGGTTGCTCCTTCTACTTCAGCCACTCTAACACTAAATTATACACCACTGCTGACGCTCTGCAAAACAGAAATGAACAAATGCAAACATACAATGATCTCCTGGTTAGGGAAAATTAACGCCTATAAGATGATGATCCTGCCCCGTATCCTTTACGTCTTTAGGATGCTTCCCCTCAGAGTTCCCAACCAATACTGCAAAACATTACAAAAATTGTGTAGTGCATTTATCTGGGGGGGCAAGAAATCTAGAGTGTCTATGGCACTCCTACAGACGGCCACCCGCTCTGGTGGTGTCGGCCTCCCAAATATCAGACAGTACTACAGGGCAGCCATTCTGTCCTCTTTCTTCTACATGCTCCACCTAACACAACTCAATGGGTGGACATGGAAAGGGCACAATTCCGTAATCAATCCCTACTTAAGTATCTATGGACGCCCAAGCAATTAAGACCGAGGCGACAAGATCTCCTCCCAACCACCCAACTTACAATAGCAGTGTGGGACGAATTCATGGGAGCAATAGGTTACAATAACTCCTTCCACCCTAAATCGCCCATCTCGACTCTCAGAGCAGTAGTACCAGATCTCCCACTCCAAGACTGGCACAAGGCAGGAATCACAAACATATTCCAACTGATAACTGAGGGGAAAGTAACACCCTTCCCACTACTAAAGTCACAGTGGCAACTTCCGAGTCGAGCCACCTTTTCATACCTGCAGGTGAAAAGTGTACTGCAAGCACATGCAATACCCTCGCACAACTCAAAAGGCCCACCACAGGTTACCCCGCATCTGCTCATTGATAGATGTTGGTCCTCACCTAACAAACCTAAAATACTCACATTGTGTTATAAAATCTGTCATGAACTCACACCGACAAAACCACATTTGCACAAAGCTCAATGGGAAAACGACTGTGGTGTAATACTGTCAGACACAGAGTGGCTCCATGCATTAAACTGGTTGTCCAAATGGACTAAGTGCTTCTCACACATAGAAGCCCATAGGAAACTCATGTATCGTTGGTACATGACCCCACAAAGACTCCACCAGTTATTCCCCACGACTAACCCAACGTGCTGGAGATGTAATTCAGCCTCGGGCACACTACACAATCTGTGGTGGTCCTGCAGAGACATTCAACCTCTCTGGACCACAGCACGGTCAATCTTGGATACACTAGATATCCCAAAATTGGAACTGACAGCATCCACCTGCCTACTGCTACTGCTCCCGGCAGGAATAAACCCAGGTCAAAGGCAAATCATGGCGCTAGTCTTACTAGCATCAAGAAATCTCCTAGCACTTAATTGGAAATCCCAAGACTGCCCTTCCTTGCCCCAGTTGAAAGATAAAGTAGAGCAATTTCGCACATATGAAAGAATGGCAATTACATCCTCGGAAAAAATGCAAGAATTTGATAGCACCTGGCGAAAATGGGAGAAGGAGTTTGGAGGGATAAAAGAAAGGGCACAACCACTGGCAAACCTTGCCAAAAGCACTGAATATGAGCATACCTTGAATTACCCCTTCTCCCCCACCATAACAATGACCTTAGGTTAAGATACCAACCAAACAACCACAGATATTACTCATGCACCTATCCCTCCCCCCTATTCCTCCCAACTCCCTTATAGTACCCTCCTTTCCTTTTTTGGCCCCCCTTCCAGGTTCTTGAACCCCCAAAACAGGTACCTAACTTCTACACTCTCGAGAAGACAAGAGGAGCAATAAGACAACTAATGCTTTATCTCGCTATTGGTAGTTTATTGTTTAGGTAATGATGAAACAAATGTTCAACACGTATCTGCATTATGCTGTTAAATAACCATTAATGTTACGACGAAAGTGACACATGTTTAACTAACCCTCCTTCCTTCTCTTCTGTACCCCAAACCATCTTGTATAAAACAATAAAATATAAATTTCAAAAAGAAAAAAAAATACATATGGTCGTTCAAGTGAGAATTCACATAAATGTGAAATAGAGAATATGAATTGTAATTTATATTAAACATGGTTGTGTATTAAAAATGGATGGTTAGTAAGCTATACATACCAAAAGAAATTTTAACATTCAGTAAAAAAAAAACTGCGGGTCTATCTGTCAAAGCAGCAAACTGCTGATGTTTATATATAGACATTTCATCCAAAAAGGCAAAATATGTAATGTATTTATGTTGCATAACAAAAGAACAACCTTTTGGATATCGGAGACTGGCACTGGTCTGTTTTTTTATTTTCCCACCACACAAAGAATAGGATTGACTCAATGTCTTATCTACATAGTTACAGTAGAGACCAATCCTTATTCACTCCTGGTTAACAGAGGGTGTGACCTTGCTTGTAGGGTGATTGAGAATGAACAATGTCTTATTTGGTGACTTATCTGCAGCACATGAAGGCAGAATCTTACTTTACCTTGGCTCTGTGAAAACTGAGTTATCTACCGCAAGGCTTTATCTACACAGGAATTAGAATAAAGCCATGTCTGATTTATCTTGGGATCACGTTGAAAATTAGCCATAATCTACCCCAGGGACTATTGCCCAAACCAGTTATATTAAAAAAAGTTTAGCATTTTCTTAAAACAGTCAAAATAAGGAGGCCAGGTAATCTGGTTCTCTGTTCTGCATCTTGGTTAGGCAGTAACTAGCATTGAGCTCTAACCAAAAGCAGAATGGAGTCCTGTATCCCCTATCCAAGATACGTGAATAGGCTACCACCATGGACACACAAGAATCACCAGTGGAGGTCTACCAGTATGGTAGGTTTTGCCTAGGCAATTACCCAAGAAACAAGCTACCCAGGAATCACAGAAGAGCAGTTGGTTATTTTAGTAAATGACCAAAGAATAATAAGTGTGTCACTGAATATGAAGCAACAGGTGGAGAAAATGTGCTTTCTTAGAGTACAACTCTGTATTAGGTACCCATGGAACTTCTAAAACACTTAGAAAAGATCAGAGGAGACAATTGAATTATTTAACAGGTGTAATAGGAGACCATTTAATTATTTAACCCAGGTACTGTGGGGCATGGTTGCATCTTATATACCCTGGAAATGAAGTATGACCAGGCATATGATAGAGGCACTGGCTCTTCTAAGTTGATTTTTTAGTCAGTGGTCAAAAATAGCCCACTCCAGGCCACATACCGAGCACAAATGGTGATTGTTCTGTAAGATTGTAAAACTGAATTTGTAATCATTATTTCAGTTTAGCTGTTAGAACAGATTGCCAACTAAAGCAATAATTGCAACATGCTGTTTACTAAGTTATATAAAGGCGTTATATAAATGCTAATTATTAATAATAATAACAGGATGCTTCATAAACATATACAGTGAAGGATTATATTGTATCCAACATCCAAAAAAAACCAACCAACTAGCATAATATATATGGACATATGCATTGGCTAATAATAAATGAGCATTTCCTTGAACAAGACACTCCTTATCTACTCTCAAAATCATTGGGGATACTGTAAAAATAGCCTTTTATACTTACAGATTTCAAAAGTGCCAACATATTTTCTCTATGGGCACTCGAGAAGGCAATACATAGTCTAAGTATCAGATTTTTTTAATCCCAGCCTTTGTGGGTTCACCACCCTGTAATGCAGACATCTGAGAAGGCAACACATTGTCTAACCAAGGCATTTGAGGAGGTATTATATATCAAGAAAATGTGAGGATACCACTAAGTCTAACTCAGGTATCGTTGGAGACAACATACTGTCTTACTTGGGTATTTGAGGAAGAAATATATAGTGTCACTTACGAAACATCTATGGGAGCACAGTCGTGTAACTTTGTTATCTGAGCGCCCAGGGTATCATCCTGTGTAACCCAGGTATCTGTGAGGTACCATCCTGTGTAACCCAGGTATCTGTGAGTTACCATCCTGTGTAACTCGGGTATCTGTAAGTTACCATCCTATGTAACCCAGGTATCTGTAAGGTACCATCCTGTGTAACCCAGGTATCTGTGAGGTACCATCCTGTTTAACTCAGGTATCTGTAAGGTATCACCCTGTGTAACCCAGGTATCTGTGAGGTACCACCCTGTGTAACCCAGGTATCTGTAAGGTACCATCCTGTGTAACCCAGGTATCTGTGAGGTACCATCCTGTGTAACCAAGGTATCTGTAAGGTACCATCCTGTGTAACCCAGGTATCTGTGAGGTACCATCCTGTTTAACTCAAGTATCTGTGCGGTATCACCCTGTGTAACCCAGGTACCTGTGAGGTACCACCCTGTGTAACCCAGGTATCTGTAAGGTACCATCCTGTGTAACCCAGATATCTGTGAGGTATCACCCTGTGTAACCCAGGTATCTGTGAGGTATCATCATGTGTAACCAAAACAGCTGTCCTGTACCATCCTGTCTAATACAGATATCTGTGAAGGGAATTACTATATCCATCCTATGTTTCTGTGGATGATTTGGCTCAGGTAATTCAGTTGGTACAACATTCTGTATAACTCAGGTTTCTTTGTGAGTAAGACATTGTCTAACCTCAAGATCTTCTGGGGAAACACCTTATTTATATCAGACACTTTATGGGGTAATACTTTATCCGAGGAGGCAGCACTTTATATATCAGGGAACTGAGGAGGCAAGACCTTGTCTGAAAATGGTTTGGAAGTGGCAAGAACTTGGCTTCCTGCAGAACTATTAGACTGTTCATCTCCCTTACCGAAGGCAATACCTTGCTTAAGCGGACATCGCTGTAGCAGCTCTTCTATAATTATTTGGTAATCAGACAAACACAAGGCAAGCAGAAACCTAACAGGAAACTTGCTTTCTCTGATACTAAACTCCACTTTAATAGCAGTCAGTAGAGATGCACTTGTTCACCCAGCTGTACCCTGGCATTGAACTGGTACCCTGGATTACCACCCACAGCCCATGCACCCATTTAAAGATCATGGTAACCAGCCACAGAAAGGTAGTGTCACAGCAAGCAGTATAGGAAGGAGGTTCTTACCTGGCAGTCCTGCAAGCCTTATGTCCTTATATCCACTGCCCTGTGTGCCACTGTAGCATGCTGTGCCCAGGTGGGGGGATGCTGCAACTCAGCCCTGGAAGGCAGCTTATCTCCAGCTCTCTCACTGACAGCCAGGATCTATGCAGCTCTCTCACTGACAGCCAGCCTCTCCAGCTCTCTCACTGACAGCCAGGATCTATGCAGCTCTCTCACTGACAGCCAGCCTCTCCAGCTCTCTCACTGAGAGCCAGCCTCTCCAGCTCTCTCAGTGAAAGCCAGTCTCTCCAGCTCTCTCACTGACAGCCAGCCTCTCCAGCTCTCTCAGTGAAAGCCAAGCTCTGTCCAGCTCTCTCAGTGACAGCCAGTCTCTCCAGCTCTCTCAGTGACAGCCAAGCTCTGTTCAGCTCTCTCAGTGACAGCCAGTCTCTCCAGTTCTCTCAGTGACAGCCAAGCTCTGTCCAGCTCTCTCACTGACAGCCAGCCTCTCCAGCTCTCTCGGTGACAGCCAAGCTCTGTCCAGCTCTCTCAGTGACAGCCAGCCTCTCCAGCTCTCTCAGTGACAGCCAAGCTCTGTCCAGCTCTCTCAGTGACAGCCAGTCTCTCCAGCTCTCTCACTGACAGCCAGCCTCTCCAGCTCTCTCAGTGACAGCCAAGCTCTGTCCAGCTCTCTCAGTGACAGCCAGCCTCTCCAGCTCTCTCAGTGACAGCCAGCCTCTCCAGCTCTCTCAGTGACAGCCAAGCTCTGTCCAGCTCTCTCAGTGACAGCCAGTCTCTCCAGCTCTCAGTGACAGCTAGGCTCTGTCCAGCCTCTCACTGACAATAAGCCTCTCCAGCTCTCTCAGTTACAGCCAAGCTCTGTCAGCTCTCGGTGACAGCCAGCCTCTCCAGCTCTCTCCATTGACCAACCAGCCTCTCCCAGCTCTCTCAGTGACAGTAGCTCTGTCCAGCTCTCTCAGTGACAGCCAGTCTCTCCAGCTCTCTCAGTGACAGACAGCCTCTCCAGCTCTCTCAGTGACAGCCAGCCTCTCCAGCTCTCTCAGTTACAGCCAAGCTCTGTCCAGCTCTCTCAGTGACAGCCAGCCTCTCCAGCTCTCTCAGTGACAGCCAGCCTCTCCAGCTCTCTCAGTGACAGCAAGCTCTGTCCAGCTCTCTCAGTGACAGCCAGTCTCTCCAGCTCAGCTCTCTCAATGACAGCCAGCCTGAAAGTGCAGCTGCTGGTGGAGATGGGCGGGCTTGCAGTGCAGTGGGCGTGGCACATCGTGGCTGTGTGAGAGAACTGAACGCCAGCTCATTGGGTGTGGGCGTGGTCATGTAAATTAGTGGGCGTGGTATCCATTCACCATCCTTTAAAGCTGCCATCTCTCTGTGGGCATTGGAATACAGTGTTTGCTAATAGCAGCCTTCAGAGGTAATGGAAGAAGAAAGGGCTTTGCTCCTGGCCAGGGGAGATATAGAGAACAAGAAATGTAAAGATGGCTTACAATTATACCTGGCTTTCGCTGCCTGGGAATTTATTTATTTTACATTAATATGGGCATGATGGGATTGGCAGTCCTCATTGCAACTGAATTGGCAGAAACTGACGATCTATAATCCATATGTGTTTATCCCACTAGTAAATACTTTGCAGAATGCTCAGCCAGCCATGTGCTCCATAAAGTGGCACGGTGGTGACTTTGTTTCCTTTCAGTTTTTCTTTCCTTATAGGGTTGGAGTAACTTTAATTCAAAAGCAAAACCTGCAAAGTGGCATTAAAGTCAGCAGCCTTGCATATGTGGCATAGTCACTGTAACACCTATGGTGCCAAACTATGACAGCAAAAACATGTATGAAGATACAAGTGTATTACAGGTGGACCAAATATAACAAATCACTGACACCAAATGTGATATCCTAGAGTGTTTAAATAAAATATATAACTTCGTAGTACAATAGGAATAATGCATATGTCGAAAAGTATTTATCTGAAGCATAAAACATGAAGTGATTTGAGATTTTAAGGCTTGTCCTGTAATTGTGGGAGGCACTATGTGCCCTATTTAAACCCAGTAAGCCCCTGCTTACCTGTCGGCTACGATCTCGGAAGTGCTCCTGTTTACTTCCGGTTCACTGGACTCTGACATCATTTTCCCGCCAGCCAGCCGGCTGGCCAGCAGTCTGTCACCAAAACTTTCTTTCAGTTATGTGTTCGTGAGTATAACTAAAGCCAGCGCACGAACGGCTAACTGTAAGTTATACTCTTTTCATACGAACGCACCCCTGTACTTTCACTAGAACACACGTTCGTTAAAATGTTCTGTTCGGTTACCACTACACTTAAAATAAACGGGCATTCGTATAAACTTTCGTTTCCTCACATAGAACCAATTTGTCAGTTTCTGTTAAAGCCCGTTCGGCTAAAATACATTCTTACGCTACCTTTTGAGTAAAACCTGCATTTCGTGCAGTCCTTTTGTAAGCTTTCTCACGTTCCAATTCGTAAAAATCTATCTGTGTCCGTTTGTTTAAAATATCGTACTTACAGTATTATGTGGAGATATAAACCCCGTAATAGACCCCTTCTAGACACTTCCTCGCCTCCACAAACCTCTAGACACGGTCCTCAAGCCGCATTGCAAAAACCACAACACAGTTATTGCTCAAGTTCAATTTATATGATAGTTGGCGAACCTTCCATCCTTCAGAGAGGATACTCTTGCTACTCTAAACCATAAGTCATTCTCCAGAATAGATGTGTTACTTTCATTACCAGGCCCTTCAATTAACCTAAGTAATCATGTATGGGGATATCTTGTGGTCTGACCATGCACCTGTGATATAGCAGCACAAAGATGATTTTAGATACCGAGGTTGTAACCCCTGGAGATTAAATGAATCGCTTTTACAGGATGAACAGTTTAAGTTAGAGATAGAAACCGAACTCACACATTACTTCTCCACTAACGACATACCAGAAACGAGTCCCACGACAGTATGGAGAGCCCATAAGGCTGTAGTGCGGGGCCTGTATATAAGGCGTGCCTCGCACCTCAAAAAGATTTCCCAGGCTAACTCTCTACACCTCCTTAGGAAATTGAGAGATGCTTCTACATCTCACATGGTTAATCCAAACCCACAAGATGCGGAACTTATAACACGGTTCCAATCGGAACTGAATGACATTAACATAGCCAAAACGACACGTACCCTACATAGGCTGAAAACGAGAGAATACTGCATGGGCAACAAAGCGGGCTCGCTTTTAGCAAGTAGACTCCGAGACGCTCAGGCCCATACCAAAATATCCCACCTCTTTTCTCGAAATGGGGAAAAAATCATCAAACCCCAAGACATCAGTAACCATTTTGCAGAGTTCTATGGGAAACTCTATAATCTCAAAAATGACCCTACTGTGCATCAACCCACAGAAGGGGAAATAGCTAGTTTTTTGGACAAAATTAATCTGCCCAAATTGACAGACGAGCAACGATCCTCATTAGCTAAACCCATCTCCCAATTGGAACTGGATACAGTAATACAAAACTTGCCACATAACAAAGCCTCAGATCCAGATGGCCTACCAAATATATATTATAAGAAATTCTCCTCCACTCTGGTCCCCAGGTTAGTGTCGCTCTTCACATCCACCACCGCACTAGAATCTATCCCAGCAGACATGCTCGCGGCTAATGTGGCCACATTACCCAAACCAGGAAAACCACCAACCCAATGTGCTAACTTTCGACCAATTTCGCTACTCAACTCTGATGTGAAAATCCTTGCTAAAGTATACGCTAACCGCATGTCAAACATAATTCCACACATCATCCACTCTGACCAAGTAGGCTTTGTACATGGAAGGCAGGGGACAGATGGAACACGCAAAGCCCTTGCACTACTACACACTATGCACAGACAATCTCCTCAAAGTCTCTTATTATCCCTTGATGCAGAAAAGGCCTTCGACCGCCTGCATTGGTCATTCTTGCGGGCGGTCCTGGCCAAATTTGATTTCCCCATGCACTTTATCTCAATAGTCAAATCCCTGTATAGCAACCCCGAAGCTAGAGTTTTCACCTCGGGATTTCAATCCGCACCTTTCACTATTACTAATGGCTCTAGGCAAGGGTGCCCCCTATCGCCCCTCCTATATATCATGGCCCTAGAACCCTTGGCCGAGGCTATCCGCATGGAGAAGGAGATCAAAGGGATTAGGGTGGGAGATAGCGAGTACAAACTGAACCTTTTCGCGGATGACGTTCTGCTCACAATCACTGAACCACACACATCCCTGCCAAAATTCCACGCCATACTACAGGAATATAGTAAATGTTCATATTATAAATTAAACCTTTCTAAAACACAAGCCATGGGAGTGGGTATGGACAGTGCGTACTTGTCGGCATTAAAGAAACAATTCTCCTATGACTGGAGGGATGACTATCTGACTTTCCTAGGGGTAAAGCTCCCACATAACTTGTCCAACCTATATAACATAAACTACGTTAAACTTAGCAAGGAGATCATTGCTTTGCTTCACAACTGGGGAAATAAATTTATCTCATGGTCGGGGCGCATAGCAGCGGTCAAAATGGTAATTTTGCCCAAACTACAATATCTGTTTAGGACACTCACTCTACAAATACCAAGGGCCTATTTCATGGCACTTCAGAAACAGATTAATCTTTTCATTTGGCAGGGGAAACGACCCAGAATAGCCATATCCACACTATACCAACCTAGGAACAGGGGAGGAATGAGCCTACCCAATATACAATTGTATCACAGAGCAGCAGTGCTGGCTAGCCTCTTCCCCGCCGCCCAGGAGCGGGACAGGCCACAATGGGTGCAGCTAGAACAACATTGGCTACAAAACCGAGAAATAGACGCATTAATATGGCTATCCCCGAAGTACAGGGGAAACACAACACAGGTACTCCCAACCACCCTAGCAATGCTGAAAATATGGGACGCATCGCGTAAACTCCTATGCAGCAATTATCCGATTGCCCTCTCCACCCCCATCTAAGCTCTAGCTTGGGAAATACCAGATTTTAACTACAGGGTCTGGAACAGATGCGGTGTACTTCACCTACATTCTCTCTCCAACAAGGGGAAATTAGATACATTTGATCACATAAAAGAGACCCACACGTTACCCAACACGGCGTACCACTCATATCTGCAATTAGCATCTTGGTGGAAATCCAAAATACTAACTTTCAAGCCCCAAACCACCCCTGAGTTAACAGAGTTTGAGAAACTTTTCATGGCGGGTAAACAGATTAAAAAGCCCATATCCACCACATATGCCCTGCTGTTATCTAGACGTGAGGTTAAAACTCTCCCCTTTGTACTTTCCTGGGAAAAAGACCTTAACCAGTCAATACCGGAGAAAACTTGGCTGGCCACGATAAATATAACGAAAGGCCTAACACAGTGTGCATCTCACCTAGAAACAACCCGCAAGATCCTTTACCGCTGGTACATGGTCCCTACGAGATTGGCCACAATAAACCCAACACTACCCAACACCTGCTGGCGATGCAAAACCGAAATAGGATCATTTCTCCATGTCTGGTGGAAATGCTCCAAACTCCAACCATATTGGAAAGCAGTCATCTCATTGATACACCGCCACACATCAGTGAACATACCAAACACCCCTACCTCTCTACTTCTCTTTATGCTGGGCACCACCTACCCTAAACCTGTACGATACTTAATATTTCACATACTAGTAGCAGCTCAACAACTAGTAGCAAAAAACTGGCTATCGCCCAATAATGCAGCAACACAAGATATTATTAAATATGTATCTCAAGTAGGGAGGTACGAATCCAATATCTCAAGAATGTCACCAGGAAATAGCTGGAAAAGGGAAGTATGGGAAAATTGGGAGTTAAAACACCCAACATAATTAGGCCTATAAATTAACCAACAGGTACACAACCCATAGGATGTACGGCTCCGGCAGCCCCACCACTTCACTACACTAGAGGGCACACGACACCCAATGCACATGTGCTAGTAACCAACAACTCAAAAAATCCTTAAGCACTGAAGTCAAGAGTGGATTGATATATCCACGAAAGCTGATGGGAAGAAAGGTGATCAGACCTTACCACTCCCCACACCACCCCCCTTTCACTCTTATGAGGCGCTACACGAAGGAAAGGCCCTCGGGCTCAGTAGGCTTGCTTTACATTATGCACACCAAGGGACACCAGGCTCCAAACTCCCACTTAGGGGAACTCTAATAGGGACAACTTATTCAAACTACAGCAATAAGGCAAGTAGGGGCAGGACCCCATAGGCCACACGTAGAGGAAATGGGAGTATTGTATTTATACACTGTAATTATGTACTTATGCATTGCAATTACGTATTGTATCCTTGTACTGATGTATCTAGGTACTGCATACCATATAACGCCAGTATTTTGTGCTTATCCTTCCCCCTCTAACTCCCCCCTTCTTTTTTCTGTACCCCAAGTTCTGACAAAATAAAAATTGTCAAATTGAAAAAAAAATAAAATATCATGCATAAACATTTATACATACACTGTTACCTTTCGTATAGACCCGCGTTCGTGCAATCTTTTGTACGTTTCATCACCTCTTACTATACGCTTGCATAAGGCAATGAGTGTTCAATTCGTTCGTTTCAGCCGATCACAGCCTTGTTCTCATTAGTACTGCATTTCATGTTTGAATTTGCTTGGTTCCTTTAGCCTCACGTTTAAGTTTCCTATGTTACTATTGTTCACTAAACAATCTGCATAGTATCTATGGCGGTTAAGTCTATACAAATTCTTAAAGTACGGTGTTATTACTGTTCGGCTTCACCCTTCAGAAGTTTTCTTAAAACCATAGTGTGTATTTTTATATAAGCGTTAAACATGTTAATAAGCTTTTCAGGTGACCACTCTACACTCAAATGCTTTCTTATACAGTTCTAAACGTTATAGCATACTTCTCTAATGCACTTATGTTATACAATGCAATGTTCATTACATATGAATATGCCAATTAAAACGGTTCTGTTTCCATGTTTAAAGATTACTCACTTACTGACATTGGTTGCAGCAGGGCCTTCTTGGTTATTTCAACTGCAAGGTTATAGATGTAGACCCTAAATTTCATACCTAATTACATTGTTATGTATTACTTTCTGGTAACCAGA